TGGCGGGGTAGCATTAGAGGGGGTGGAGCTAGAAGAATGCGGAGAAGTCGGGTCGAGCGGGGGTGTAGGGTGGAAGTGCCCTTGCGGAGTAGACGTTGAGTGATACGCATATGTCGAGGATGGCGTATTGAGACCATAATCGTGGGAAACGGACGTCGAAGCACGACTCTGATGGGAAGATGTGTAATGATCTGAGTAGCCACCAGGGGTGGAAGCATGCATAGGAGGATAAACAGGGGTATATTGAGTCTGTTGCACGGATGGATGCGAAGACCTCCCAAGTGAGGGTGGAGAAGGGTAGGCGGCAGTGGCATATTGGTGCGGCGGGTGCGCCGTCTGTGGGTATGCAGCATCATGAATATACGCTGTCCCTGGACCCAGTAGTCCAGGCATTCCGGTGAGCCCAAGCTGATTGAGGCTGTCAGCATCAAAATACGACGTTGGTGAGAACCGTCCTGATAAGTCCTGGGATGCACGATTGTTTGCAGTCACGTCCCGGCCAAGGGTCACTAGAAATTCGTTCACCGCGGCAAGCTCCTCTGGTGTGCGGACGTCGAAAGACACTGAGCGAGGATTAAACTCGTCATAATGTGCACCGTCTTGTGCGTATGCAAGACTGTTGAGACGCTCTACCATGTCTGTGAAATTTGTTCTATCAGACACTTATGCGCATTAAATGACGGTATACATACGGTTGTCGTAAGCAGGATTGACCTTCCTCTTCTTCATTTCAGTGAAGAAATCGTCGACATTGTATTCAAGCGACCTCTTGTTGCGATTTGAGGCGCGTGCGTCGGATTTAGCACCGTCCCATGAAGGTACCTGATTATGGAGAAAGAGCTCGTATGACGAATGAGGCACATGACGAGAAGGATGAGGTTCGAGCTCCGGAGACGGAGTGGGCAAGGCACTATAGTGCCCACCTAAGGTCCGACGTTAGCGGACGTAATGCTGAAGATCGTGTGACTAACCGTCTGGTCCTGTACCAGTACGTTCGCGTGCACGAGCGAAAGGGACTTTAGGAGGCAACGCGCCCGGTGCTGCGCCTTGGAGCTTGCCAGAAAGCGACCTATTGAGAGCGCCTTTTGATGGAATAGCATCTCCGCGAACTCGGGAGGCGTAAGCAGGATCATTTACGGTAATTGCCTTGGAGTGCTTGTGCTGCGCGTGGTGCTCTTCTGTATGGATTTTCTCGTGCTTTTTGAGGTCCTGCGGGCGCTTAAATGACTTTTTGCATATCTGGCAAGGAGTGAGCATAAACCGAATGGTGGAAAAAAAAGCAATAAATATCGAACCTCACAGACATGCGGCTTCAGCGGAGTGTGGACTAGGAGGGATTTTAGATTGATGCTGAATCACAATATGCGATACGAACGACATACCTCGAAGATGACTTGTGATATGATCACGTTTCGCACATGAGGTCCCACAATCCTTCCATTTGCACGTGAGACATAGATTATTTGTGCTCTTTCGACCGATATGATCGTTGCAGAGATGATTATACAGAACCTCAGGATCTGTAAAACTGGTAGAACAATCGACCCATTGACAATTGTAGGATTCTGAGTTTGATGGAATAGATGGAGGAGAGACTGAAGTGTCTGGTGCTGACGATTGAGAAGGAGGTTTCAAGGATGAAGCTGCAGAATTATTATTTTGAGGAGAGGGTGGAGGAGGAGACTCTGATGGAGGCTGCATGAGTTGGTTGTAGGAGTCTTGTAATAATAAACGGTCAAGGTGATTCGGAGGGATGAAGTCTGGGACAAGAACGGTCGCGGAGTCTAAGGAACTCATTTTGATTTTATAAGCCGTCAGAAGAGTCTCCTTTGTATGCCAAGACAAGATCGAGCCTTGGCGTAAGAATGCCAGCGTGCCAAGCAATTTACTTCCTTGGCACTAAGACCGATCACCACTGCATCGGAGATCACCGTCACGGTGTTCGATCTACTCATTCCAAATTGGGTTACCCACCGGTTGAATTCGGAATACATGCTCTTGACTTGAACCACTTGCTCCAAAGGTTACCCCATGCAACGCATATTCATATCGTGAGTGGAGTTCTGCCATCAGGAAGTCAATGGCTAGAAGTAACCCTTGACAGACTTCCACAACTCAGAGCGTGTTCTAGGGCGTTTCTTCCTTGGCGCTCATAATACCCTTGTCGGGTTACTTTCATTCCTTCTTCCTCAAAAAGATAGCCCTATAAATTATTCTATGGCATAGGTCAGAACGTTTGGCGTTTCGAATCCGTTTTCACACAGCAGTGTGAGAGCCCACAAGCCAGGAAATCGACAAGCCCAAAGTCAACGGAATCCCTTCTCAATCGGAGCGGAACGGGATAAAACATTGTCAATCATAGACGGTCGACCTCGACGACTGCAAGGATCCTCGAGGATCTCACTTACATGAAGGGCTTCACATTATTTGCTCGTTATTAATACTATTGTCGATCCAGGATGTACGACCCCTCATCTTGGCACCTCCCTGAACCCTCTATCCAGATTTCACCGAATATCAATATACAACTTGCAATCATTGTTTGATCACCAGTCGTAAGTGCTTCAGCTCTTCGATCCCGGATGCTGCCGAGAACAACCGTAAATATTTCTCATGGTGGAGTCATACTACCAACATGTTCCGATATAATTGCCAGCGTTTTGTCGTTTTGGGACGGGACATTGACGGGATGCCAGGTACAACCGTCGTGGACAAGGCAACGAAGCCGACATGTGAACAAGCTGCTTCAGGCTGCCTCTGAGATATTGTTGTGTCAATCAGGTATACTATAGGATACTATCTAGACTGCCAATATGATATTCAAGTTATTGTGCAGATACCCTTCATCGTGATTTTGGTTAATGTCATTCATCGTATGCGCTGGCTCTTCACAGAATCATATTGGTGGTCGAATTCCATGACTGCTGCAGTCGAGCTGATAAATCATTCAGCCGTGAAAGCCACAACTCACCATACACGCGGCAGCTGTGTGCAAACTCTCAGCCAACATGCCAAGGACACGATTACTAATTGAGAGTGACATGATTTCATTTCGAATTGGAAGTCTGACAGACTCTGACTTCATTTGCCAAGCCAAGGAATTATACAGGAGGGCGCCAAGAATATTTAGTGCCAAGGGATTAGTTTGGGAACAACACTGATACTCAGGGCTGTCCCGTTGGGAGCACTAATAAGATCCCTGGACCGCCTTTTCAGCTGAAGCAGGTGCGGCAAGCCTTCTACTGCGCAATGATCCCGGCTTCGTATTTTTAAGCGGCATCTGATTATCGAGTCACCCGTATATGTTGACTCGGACGGGTCCGAACTTCGAAGGATGAGGCCTAGGCACTAAGTGAGAATGAACTCAAACTTCCATATTTCAGCAAGGTTAACTTGTGGACGGCTTTTCCATAATAGCTATTACTTTCGCAGTATGGCCGCAAAAATCGTGCTGATCCAGTGGCCTAGAACAGCGCTGCCCCCAGCGAACTAGAGAGGAAGAAGGTCTGCTGCATTGACCATACCGATAAAGAACACGCGGTAAAATTGCTTCATGACCCCGCGTGCGCAACGAGCATCTCATATGCAGCTTCGGGCATTACGAAGCATCTTCAACTAACGACAGGGGGAGCAAATCGCATTCATTAAGATAGGCTGTAAGGTGGGCTATGATGAAGAATTCGAACAAGTGGATACAAAGTGGATACAAAGTTTAGCACCTTGTGCTCCAAACCCTGAGATACAAGTACATCCTTTTGAAGAATGACGTTGACCCGAGTGGCCGTATCGCTGAGCGGCTATATGCAACCGGGTTCGTGAGACTGCACGATGTTACACCATGGTCAGGGCAATGCGTCATGAATAATCTCCTCGGAAGGGGTACCAGCACGAAATAGACAATCTGGGCCTACTGAGCACTGAGCCTCGAATTCTTGTTTATTCAAATATTGTTGAAGCCGATCTTGCATCGAGGTTGCTCTTTGAAAAAAGTGGGCACCCCGCTTGCATAAATGTCACCACTGCGGTCCTGTCGAGTAAGCGAGGCCAGAATTATACGCCAAGGGGGTGAACAAACCTCTACAAACTCATGACATCGGAAACAAAAGAAGCGTGAGCAGCCGTCACCCCGCGTCCCGGCCAGGTACACATGTCGGCAATGAATTTCATTGCCATCCACGCTGCCAGCGCTTGCCAACAACAAACGATATACCACCCAACGACTATCAGAGAATATTCATTTGATTGGTACGTACATGCAAACATTCTTGGGTGCCATTCCATTGTCCAAGGATATTGCCGAGTGCGCCCTAAACACCTGTACCTAATGGGAAGCAACCGCTTCAGTGTATAGCTCTAAGAGGTGAGCTTTTCTGGAAGACCTACAGCACGATATAGCCCGTTGACATCACGTTTGGCATGAGGTGGGAACAGTAAGTCCATTCACGGCATGGTGGACTGGCGCGAATCAGCTACTATCACTTATCGTGTGTTATACGTGCCAATTTATCGACTGTCATATGCGTGTATTAGGCCAGCTACTGGAGAGTATATTGGATGTACTTACCGAGGTGCATCTAAAAGATACACAAGTCACTTATGTAACTCGGTGGAAATGCGGCATCCGTATGTTAAAACCAATATTTTCTCATCCTATTGGTTACCGCCAGCTTGTATGAACTCTGTGGGTATTAAGCTGCACAATAAAGTTCATAAGGACGACGGAATCAGAACAGGTGCTATATGCATACCAAGCGGCTGTTCACGACGTCGGCATCCACGTCCGTACCCGAGATCTCCCGATACTGACTGCCTGTGTACGCGAGAGCCCGCCGAGGAGGAAATCGAAACCTATCAAAAGTCATTTGAAGCAACGTACCTGTAAACTGTTCACACCCATCACTACGCCGCCGTGATCGCGGGTTAACCATAAGGAGGTCTCAACCCACGCAAGACAGCCCATTGACTAGTTGGGTTTCTCGGGGAGCCGTGTTGGTGCCGTTGGGATGGTCGTGCAGCGTGCTAAATCGGTGGGCGCACGGTGGGGGGCCAAGAGCCTATCATTGGAGTCAAGTTGGACAGAAGGTTTGTTCATCACGGAGAGAAACGGCGGTGGACTAGATATTCGATGAACAGGAGGGATTAAATTGAGAGTACATAAAGTGGACATGGGGATATGATCATCTCTCGTTTTAAGCTCCCCCTCACTAAACTGCTATAGAATCACAAGTCGGATGGCTATTATCATCATTTACCTTGGACTCAAAGTCCACTAGAGCGATGATGCCTTCAGGAGGTTCGTTATCTCGGCGTGATCCAGTTCCTTATGTGTGCAGACTGTTCTATGCAAAAAAGGTTGTTGAACGACGTGAACGAAAGGGAATATGTGCGTTGTCACGTGCAAACCAGTCCATTAAGTTGCTTTCGAATGTAGTCCACTCAAAATCTCAAACACCATGTCGCGATACCCAGACTATCTTTCACCGAACGCAACTCCTTCTAAACCATCCAACTCGCAGAAGTCAAGAGCAAGACGCGAGCCATCTGGCGTTTTCTCCTTATTTCAGGCACCTCAGATTCAGCAGTTCAAGGAGGCATTTCAACTTATCGACCACGACAAGGATGGCTGGGTAACGGAATCTGATCTGCGAGAAATATTCTCAAGCCTTGGTGAATTTGCACTCGTTATTCGGTGTGTCAAGCGCTTAACCTGGTTCCAGGTATTTCACCATCGAAGAGTATGCTAGATGGCCTGCTCAGCGCGCGCCCTGGTGGCCCTGGGCACAGCAAGTCACCTCCTGTGACACCTTCACGCGACTCGTTAGTGTCATCAGACAGAGGTATCAACTTTACCATGTTCCTCACCATGATGAGCGAGCGACTTTTCGAGTTCGATCCAGAAGCTGAGTTGAGGGAGGCTTTTGAATGTTTCGATGAGGGCGACACGGGTACGGTTAAATCTGATGAGATGCAGAAATGGATGGGAGAAGTAGGGGAAAGAATGGGTCAGCAGGAAGTTCGTCTTGTACCTGCTCTAACCGTCTGAGTGGCTGATTTCGTGCCCAGATCGACAAGTTCCTCCAGAGTTCATTCACTGACCGTCAAGGGAATTTCAATTACCGCGAATGGATTAAAGTGATACGAGTGAATGATGGTGATGAAGCAGGATTAGACAAGACATGACATGGCATGGACAAGACAAGACAATAATCTGTGCGAACATCTGTACTTTACACTTTGACTAGCATACCATCATTACCGCAATTGCATTCGTCACAGGACCGCAAGAAAACTCGTGATATGAAGTTGAAAGCCACGTAGCCCGCAAGACCGTTCATATTGATTGCGTCAGGCCCACTCCCCTTTGAGAGGCTCTGCTAGGAAGCGGTCCTTATTAAAGGCCAATTCCTTGAAAATTTGTTCGACTCGCTCCTCCGATTCACAGCGGCTGACTTCTTCCAAGGCTAAGCTCCAGTAAATATTTAGATTCGAGAAGATAGGACCAGACCTCACCTTCTCCCCGCCCATTTCCGAGGCTCTGATCATTTCCTTCCGTCCCCGTACGGGCGGGGATGAGAAGCAATTCAGCACCTTCGTGGTCCAGAAGTTCGATACAGTTACAATTGGTGAATCGGAGTCCAATCGACGAACGTCCTTTTTCACCCCTTCCAAATACGTTTTTCATGACGTCTTCTGAATAAATTGCACATCGACTCTTGGGCAATCCTACACGTTGATTAGCCGGAGCTTCTGCTTTGGGATTCTTGACTTGGATTACGAAAGAAGATGCGATATGGATCCCAAGTGCTTTCTGGACATCTCCCAACTCGGTCGGGTGTGAAAGGTGGTATCCAAGGTGAGTGGCATTTCTTGACGGAACATTCCCTTGAGAATTGACAGCTGCGTACACACCACGTCCTGCAAGGCGAACGGGCGGTGTGTGGCGCGTACCTAACAACGGTTTCAAAATGCAATCGTCACCAGGGGTAAAATCATACCCCGGGTCTTTGTCTCATAAGTCCTTTCCCCCAACTTCTCCTCCAGGTCATGTAAATTGTCGCCCACGAATATTACTGTCGCCCAAATTGGGGCGTGCTTTTCGTGTTCAGGATCAGGGAGTCTCTTCTTACCGACAATGATCAAGCGGAAATGTTTTTTGTCCTTTGTCGTTGATTCAGGTGCAGGTGCAGCGTCTGCGCCTTGCGCCACAAGGTTCATCTCGTCCGCATCTGCACCGGAGACATCTTTACTCTGCTCACTTTCTCCTTTCACGCTGAAGGGCTCGGATGAACTAGGGACAAGGAGTACATGGAGCTTGGCGACATCGTCCATAGAATAAACTTGTTCATGCTGGACTTTTGGGCGGTAGAAGAAGTATATATGTCCACGCTCAATTACCCCTGAATAAAATAGGTTCAGCGATGAAGGGCACTCGGACTCTAGAATACACTAACCTGGGGTGAATGCATATTTATTTGTATCGACCTCTTCTATCTTGGGCCTCTTCGCCTCCGTCTCTTCCGCTGTTTCAAGCTCAAGAGCCTTGCGCTTCTCACCGACCTCGGGTTCCATCTTCACTTCTGTCTTTTGTGCAGTGGTGTCCTCATTTTCGCTTTTCTTCATTCGCCTTCGAGGACCAAGAGGATTCTCACTGGGACTCATACTAGGGGTGTGTGTAGCACTGCGTGTCTCCACTGGCATTTTGTGATGGTGTAAGCGAAACGAAAAGGACCAGCCCGGTTGACGTCATATAGTATGGGGCTAATCACAACATTAATTGCTCTCGAAGAAACAAGTAACTTTGATCTTATATCCCGATTAACATGTGCTTGGAGACCCGTTATAAAGCCTATCGACCACTTGTTTCACTTAATATTCCGCGACAACCCGCGAACACCGAACAATGATATCCGTGACAGGGGGGCGTGACGTCACACCCCTCTGGGCAAGATCGGCTATTTAGGCTTGGCCGTAGTTCCAAGCTTAAGCGGTTCTTCATGTCTGCTCTCAAGTTTGCAGTTTCTGCGCTGAACCGCGAGAAACCTCATGTGCGTTCAGGATACCTACCGCTCTTACTTGCTCAGACAATTTCGATCCGCTGCAGTCATCTATCACCGATTGGGTGGACATTCTCACCTCACCTTCATATAATGATGAGGCGTATGATGGGTAGGAACAACAGTATCTCTAAACTGGTTGCAAAGCTCATTCAACGGTTCTAAGAATCCCGGAACTATTAGAATCAATTGCGCTACAACCAACAGGGTGCGCTTGAAATCCGGACCTCACATTGTTTAATAGTGACCGTTGATGCGTTGGGCGTATACCCCTTACACTAGGACTCCCGAAGCATCCAGAGCAATACGAAAGAAACTTAAGCATGGAGATGTACACCATCAGTACCGTGCACTTGTCGTACGTTTTTATTCCTTATCGGCGGAAGTATAATGACTGATAGGACTAGATACTGAAAGCACTTGTCGACAATGGTCCTCAGAAGTTTCAAAGTGAGTTTATATACAAATATAAGACTGGTTTTAGCTTATGGTCACAGCTACGTTTGCCGACGGCCAGCTAATTGACGCCATAAAGCAACTCGCAACTGATCCAACGACGGATCAGAAAGTTAAGAAGAAGCTCATGGCCGTTCTTGCAGCATGGCATTCCCAATTCAAAGATGATCCATCAATGTCCGTTGTTACAGGTCTCTTCAGACAATGTCGTCCCGCAGATCGTCGCAGCCAAGGATACTCAAATAGTGCAGATCCACTCAGTCATGGGCCATCATCTGACTACGAAAGGAAAATGAAAGAGAGGGATGAGAAAGAGCTGGCGAAACAACGAGCTAAGCAGGAAAAGCAAGAAGCGAAGCAAAGGGCGCGTAAAGCGGAGGAAGACGCAAGGAAGAAGAAGAGCCGGTCCCGCCAAGCTCCCTTCGACTTTGAAGTTGTGCGTGACCCCCATTCAAGTTGTCAGGCCTGCAATCTGCCACCAACTGACACGATAACAGGAGAAGCCGCAAATACTGACAACCATCGCTAACGCAAGTCAAGCGTCCAGTAACCTGGTGAATGCCATAATGCTAGTGAATGGCGAGAAAGAAAGCGTAGTTTCGAATGAACGCGTGCAGGAGTGTCTCGGGAAGGCACGTGCCATCCGTAAGCCTATAGTGCGATATATCCAAGTCTGTATTTTTCTTCTGTTGTTGATTTAGTTGCTCATAACTTAAACCAGCTCGTGGAGAACGAGGAAATGATCGGAGCGTTAATTGAGACGAACGAGCGTATTATCACCGCCCTTCAAATGTATGTCAATGTAGGTGGCTCCTTTCCAGCATCAATTCGCTGCTCAGTGATCTGCGTTCAGCTTTCAGCTCCCGGTCAGACGGCGCCGTTAGATCCTACAGCGAATATACAAGCTGCAATGGCGGCGACGCATCTCAGCACAAATAGTACAGGCGAACTGTCGGTTCAACAACGAGCAGCTGTAGAACAATACAAGCAGCAGCTGCACGATTATGAGGAGCAAGAAAGCCGCGGGAATTATATCCACGAAGATCTTCAAGATCCTATCGTTCGGGTCTCTGGGTAATGAAGAGGGGAAATTGCCCCCACCCATGAGACCAACCGCACATCGTAACATTTCACCTGATTCGGAGTGGGATCAGGGTAGGGGAAGTCTCTCTGATTTCAGCGACTACGAGAGCGAGGAAGAACAACCGAGAAACGTCACACACCAAACTGCGGCATCTTCAAGCACGCGACAGTCGGAAAGAATTGTGGATGACGAGGACCCATTCGCGGATCCATTTGCGGATTGATATCGAGCTATACCTGGAGTGATCGCCACAGGGTAGGTAACATATCTTATGTACATGTAGTCAATCTTTCGCCATCTCTTGTATTCCAGCCGGATTCTTGTTAGAATTATATGATGATACTAGGATGAATTATACTGCATTAGAAGAGTGTTTGGTACATGTGCGGTACCTGCCGAAGTCCGAAGGAACAAACGCATGCAAAATCCACTAGACATCAACCTATCTTACAGTACAGCTTGCAAGGATGACGCTTCAAAATGACGTCGATGAACAAGAAAACCAAAATCTGGGTTGTCAACCACTTTCTATACCGCTATCCATTTCATTGTTCACTACTTGTTCACCGTTTTGAGGAGATGCGCCGTTCATTTGCTGTTGGTGTTGGCGAACATCTTGATGTGATTGCTGGGGCTGCTGATGCTGATGAGGGGCCATCGCGCCTCCGTGCATACTTGGGCCAAGAACTCCAAAGCCTGGGCCCCCCACAACGCCCATCGGGCTTTCCAAATATAGTCGGATGAGAACGCTTTCAAGAGCAACAACAGTAGGCCCGGGGTAATCGAATGCTCGAGCATGTTCACGAATGGAGTTAAATAGAATGCTCATACGATCCCACAGTTCTTGCTGAGATGGTGAACCCTGAGGAGGTCCGATGTGAGGATAGCCCATTGCCGGAGGTCCAGGGAAAGCAGGAAACGGATGGGGCAGATGGGCAAGTGGAGGATTTGAAGGGTAGTTTTGGACCTGTGTTTGAGATGGAGTAGATGAGCCCTCCTGCTGCGTGGGAGTGGGGGCTGCAGAAGCTGCTTGTATGGCGCGCTTTGATTCCTCTTTCTCGGCTAGGACTGTTTGTCGCCTACCGCGACGAGTAAAAGGCAGGTTTGCCAACCCGATAGGATGCGAATGCTCGGCAATGTCTATGAGATCGTTCAGGCAAGGCGATATCCCTGATACTTGGGTGAATACTCACAACAAACTCGAACTTCATCAGTGTCATAATAAGTCTTGTAGCTGATGGACGCCAGACACCCCTGCCCATCAAGCTGAGGGAATACGTGAATGGGCCATACTATGGAGGGTGTTGCTGATACGAACCTTCCTACTAGGTACCTTGCGAACGCGCTCTGGGTGTTTCTTCACATACTTCTTGCGACCGCTCCTTGAATGTCGGGCACAAACTAGCTTGGTATGGTCCTTGAAACGGGGAGGAACTGCCTTGCTGCCGTGAGTGTCACCCTTCACGAATTCAACCATCTGTGTTTCTTCCTCATGGACCCTCCATTCCTGGAATGCAGCGAGGTTTGGAAATATAAGAGTGTATCCATCGTCACTATCGCCACAACCATAAGGTGACCTTGCAGTTGTCGACTTTGGAGGCGCCGGTATAGCAAGGCTAGAAGGCGCTGCGGGCGTTGATGTGGACGATGGGGGATTTTGTGAATAAGATTGCTGCTGATTCTGTTGCAAATGTGGAGGCAAAGGCTGGGACATGGCCAGTTGCCCGAGTCTGAAATGCTGGAAACTCATTTTTTGACAAGGATTCCGAACAAAAAATGGTTGGGATGAAAGCAAAAAGGTGGAAAACTGGTCCCGCGTGTGACAACTTTATACAATGTCACGTAACTTTTTTGTCACACGCTTTCCTTTTTCCAGCAATGACCTCCTCCCTCAGAAATTCGTTGCATAGGCGAAATCATAAAGAGCGCTCGCAGCTCTCTCATCGCGCAAAATTTGGTATTTTAGAAAAGCACAAGGATTATGTCCAACGTGCACGGGATTATCACTCAAAACAGGATCGTATAACGCGCCTGAGGCAGAAGGCAGCGGATAGGAATAAGGATGAGTTCTACTTTGGGATGGTTAAGGAGAGGATGGTGCAGGGGGTGCATGTCAAGGATAGAGGAAATGTTTCTATGCCTATGGATATGGTTAAACTCCTCAAGACACAAGATGAGGGTTATGTTCGGACAATGAGAGCCAACGGAATCAAGGCATACATTCTATGCGTGCTTGTGTCGTTTATTCAACTCATTCCTCGACAGAAAATAGAGAGGATCAAGAGCCAACTTACCGCCTTGGCTAACCTCATTGCCCCGCATGATAACATAGAGGATGATGGCGAGGACGCATTGGACGAAACTGACCTGGAAACACTTCGAGAAGCAGGTGTCATACCCCCAGAAACAAAACGACGTCCACCCCCACGACATATTATCTTTGCTGAGAATGAGACGGAAGGCGAGTGTATCTTGTGACGCCGTCCCGTTCATGACATGACAAAATATACACTGCAGCAAAGCAACTATCTCAGCGGCGATCTTCAAACCAAGTCAAAATTACGACTGAAGTGGATGTCGAACGGGCTGAAGTTGACCTCGGCTGGAAGACTGTAGAAAGTGTATCTTCTCGACGGAGACGGAAGAACAAATCCTCAGCCGGTGCATCGATGGATATTGTTGAGGATACTGAAGAAATACAGCAACTTAATGTGGTATGCCCATATATTTCCTTGTCGTCACCCACTTCCTGAGAATTTTCATTCAGCAAAACAAGAAGCGCCTCCTAAAAGAACTCGCTGCACGACTAAAGCGTGACACTCAATTACGATATACGCAACGTGAACTAGAGATGCAAAGACTTCTGGCAGGTAAGGGAGGTCGGCGAAAGCTGCGTGGTGTTGAAGAAGTAGGAGCTGAGAACAACGATGAAGATGAGGATGAAATGGATGACACGGCAGCTTCCAAGGCAAGCAAAGCGGATGAGAAAACTTACAAACCTCGGGTGTACAAGTGGCGTATAGAAAGGAAACGATAATAACATCCAAGTCCATGACAATCTATTGTGTAGTTCGACGAGTATAGTGCGAGTGTGCATTGCATGAGTTCAGTCCCAGATCCGTATAACTTTTTGGTAGACTGCAAGTGGTGGATGTGCATGACCGACGTCAGATGACATATTAATAAATGCAGAAGGCGCCGAACGCTATGCTGCCAATGACTACCCAAACCGAGCTCCACCGACTGAAGCTAGGCGGACTGGAGTTCGATGAAGATGAGGGTGAACTTGTTCCTCCCGGAGTTGCAATGGGCGTGGTAGGTGAATAGGTGACGCCATTAGCGGTGGCAGCAACTTCGAACACAGACCCACCACCGTACTCGTAGAACTTGGAACCATTAGAAAGAAAACCACAAGATAGTTGAATGTACATACGTCAACGAGCATGAAGTTCGGGTTTCTGCCCTGTTGACCAACGCAGAGTTCGAACTGCTCACCGAGGGAATTTGTACCGGTGACAGCATTGGTTTGATTAGCTTGACTTGGGTCTGGAGCAGGTTGGCCAAGAATCAATGTGTCCAAATAGTGATTAATAAGGTACATAGATGTAGCAGTGGGGGTGTTGGCGTTTGACCGGTTCACATTGCAATCAAATGACGTGGTGACGTCATACGCAGTTTCCCAGATATTAGTGAACTCTGGGGGCAAGAGTGTCAAACAAAATCCCCGTGGGTTTCAACTGTGTAACACACCGTCAATGATATAAGGAACGGAGCTGAAGTTAGCGTTGGAGTCCATGAAAGTTATCAATCGCGTTCCCGAATCGATGAGGCTGCCAAGGGTCGGCCAGTCACTTTCAAGCAGCGAAGAGGAAGGCGGCGAGTAAGAACATCGTGTCAAGCCCAACCGCCTTGAAGACAGTGTCGTAACTACTCGGTGGAAAAGTATCAGAGTTGACGATGAGCAATGAAAGTACTGGAAAAAACATCTTGAGAAATGCCAGAGTTCTGCCTTCTATCATGAACGTTACCGACCTTCATTTGGATTTGCGTCTAGCCAGGCTTTCACTATATGCCAAGGGGTAAGGAAAGCAACCTGAAGGCAAATATTTATTCTTACCAGTTGTAAGGTAAGTCTGAAGACTTCCGCCATCAAATAGTGACTACAACACAGTGAGTACGGCATGACTAGGACAATATGTACGTCACGTACACAGCTCGTGTGGCAAAGCTCAATGACTCCACTCAAGTTATGGGCTTGCATTTGCAGCATTCGAATCCCGTCGTTCAACTGTTGTGTAACTGACAGGGGTCAGTTTAAGTAATTCCGGAGTTCGGAAAGAAGTTTGTGCTCACTGTTGTAGTCCTGGGTTACGAAAACTTGAGGAAAGTAATTGAGTGAGGGCATCTGCATGTACAAGGACATTGGAACTCACCATTGTTGGTACCTACTGCATAAGAATCATGGGCACCGACAAAGGTAACGTTTCCAAAATTACGGGTACACAAATCTGGACTTCCATTGCAAATAGTGGCACGGCGAAACGGCGATTCGGTGGGCGAAGCATGAGCGAAGTCAAAAATAGGTGACATCATTGCAAAAGTGGACAGAACGACCTGCGCCCTGGGGAAAGAAAACAATAACATGAATACTACTTAGTAGGAGGACGTTTGAAGTGAGTGGTTTGAAACAAGGCGACGGAACACTGGTTTGCATAGCTATAACTGCGGTGCCACATGAAATGAAATGAAATAAAATAAAATAAAATTGCATTCCCATACACGGTGAGATGGCCGAGCGGTCTAAGGCGCCAGACTAAGGATCAGCTCATTAGATGAGCAAGTTATCTGGTCCTCCGGGGCGTGGGTTCGAATCCCACTCTCATCAATACTTTTGCTGCATCTCGCCATAAATTTTTGAGTGCTGCCCTTTTTGACAAGGTCATATTATGTACACGAGATTTGCGAGAGGTACCACGAAAGTAATCCTTAGAAGGTGGTTGCGACGATCCTAATGATACACAGTGGGAAAACGAATGCAAGAAATAGCCGATTAATTTCCCAGTAACAGATAGCTCAATCAAGTCAAAGTTTCTGTGATACTGAAGTGCACATGATCCCCCTCGCCTAGGGTAAGCCTGACTGGCAGACGAGGATCAATGCGCACAGGAGCGCTCGAACCAACGAAAAAGTCTCCACGACTGAAATTCCTAGTGATTGCTGCTGCTTCTTCCTCTGTGAGATTACGGGGGCCGCTTGTTAGGCCGAAAGGTAGATGAAGAGGCGCCAGTAATGCGCCATTGTAATCATAATATTGATGTTGGCTGAGAGTAGGTGCTCCATGGACATATCCCAGAGGTGCCTGAGCAAATGTAGACACACCGGGCGCTGGGAGATTACAAGATCGTGAATAAGTAGACTACATTTCAGCGGAGTCAAATAATTACTTTGATGCGACTGATTTTGGTCGCTTTCAGGATCTGGATATGCGCATGTCGCGCCGATACCCTCGTTTTAAGCAGCTCTAATAGGAGGTATGCGGTCAATATATCAAAGGACAAATCTGCTTGTTCGAGATCTGTACCAACCTGGCACGGTAATACCTCGCTACAACGAGTTTTACCGGTATGACATGCAGTACATGCTCGCCTTACTGAAGGGGCTTTTGCTGAACATCATATATGTATATATATACGACATCGTTAACGATTATGACGCGGAGCTCACCTTTACGAGTTGCTGTGGAATCGTTGACTGGCGATGGGCCATTGGAATTATGTTGTTGTTGTTGCTGCTGCTGTTGGGCGTCGGCAGCATGTTGGTGGAGTTGATGGAGTTGTTGTGCGTCCATGGCCGACGCCGCGTCATGCGCCGGTGTAGATGCCTCACTAAGAGCCGACATGGGTGTAGCGGAGCGGTGAAGTTCCGACGCTGTTCGGTAAAGCGGGAATATAAGTAATTCATCGGAGCGGATATGCCTATTTAATTGATATTTATGCATATTTGTACATCCGGTAGCTCCCGCCACACCGGCCAGGGCACGGTTCTATGCCGTACTCCGCATACCGGTAATCGATTCATTCCGGGTCGGCAATAGTTCTAGCCTGTACCACCATGTCCCAATCTCCGTCTCAGCCACCTCCCTTCTCCGATTTCGAGTATGTATTTGATCCTGCTCTCGCAGGTTTATCACCTCCTCTTCTTCCCATCCCATCATCTGCAGACCTCTTCTCTCCATCTGAAACAACTGATCTGCTAGGATTCTTGGACAACTTTAATTGGGATTTCGAAGCAGATCCCGCTCTCACTGCGCCATATATACCGCAAAACGCGCGCGATCTAGACAATTCGGGAGAAATTATGTCGCCGATACTCCCAGAGCAACCTGAGATGCCATCAGATACATCCAATGCCAGACCTTCATCCTCATCATCCGCAACCTCGTCATCTCCCTCAAAACAAGACTCCACAAGCGCAAAGCGCAAGAGAGCTTCTGCAGCCTCGTGCCAGACGGGGAGAGCAAAAGTCCTTCTATCTACCCCTCAGAAAAGACTCAATCATATCATGTCAGAGCAAAAGCGTCGTAATGCCATTCGTGAGGGATATGCCCAGTTGATATCCCTTCTCGCCCCAGCTGGTGCACAGGCTATTGATATGCCTACTAGAGGTAGACCAAAGGGCAGCGGGAGCAAGGGGAAGGGTCACACCAAAGGCAAGAGCGGAGTGCTCTTTCGAGCAGTTGAGTATTGCCGGTGGCTTGAGGAAGGAAGGGATGCTTTGATGGATGAAGTACTTCGTCTGGAAGCTGCCGCAGGCATTGTCTACCCGTCTCGGTAGTAACGGGCATGCACTGGCTTCATTGAGACAATTTCCCGAAGCCGCAGTGAGTAGTTCGGTCTCTATACGTCCGGATCTCATTAGTCTTCTAGTACTTTCCCCTTATCCACTGCCAGTTCAGGGCTACAGAGTCCTGACAGCTCCTTGTAATGCATGTCCGCAAATTCCTAATTCTCGCCCGGGGCTGCAACTACCTATATTGTATGCTTGGTCGAAAATTTCGACGTATACCGAGAACTGTATTGTATTTTTCCATAATTCTTATCATGCTTTTCGATGTACTGGCACATAAATACACCCGGTTTCTCTCTCTTTAGGGACCGCATATTGAATTGCAAGGCTACGATTTCCCCTGTTACTATCTCGTCCGCTTCCCACCTGCAAGCGGGTGTGTTCCGAGATCCGCCTTAATGCCAACCAGCGTCTACAGGTGGTACGTCAATTTCTGAAGTGTGACGATATTTTCTTCGGGATATAATCTGACCGACTAATATTGTTTGACACCAGCAGCCTTTCCCTCTTGACCAGTTCGTCGTTCGGCTGAATATCAAGAGCGATGTCACGGAAGGAATTCTCAGCAACTATTCGCCTTGGACTATGTATTCAGGCGGGTACGTATCAGGCGGCATCGCGTAATTCTCAGCGCTGACTCGGAATATATGCATCATACGTCTAGCGTCTTCTGTCCGGGCCTCCAGATGGCATGGCAGCTGAAGAGTGGAAAGAAGGACGCCGTGAGGGACGCCGCTGTCCGCACAAACGTGCATCTCGGAGAGCCGGAGGAACCGAATAGGTTCGGGTTAACCCTAGATCCGTCAAAGTTGAGGGTGGGGATCCAGGATGAAGAATTTATTAAGCTCAAGGTCGGCCACGAGGTGCTCACGTACACGGCCCCGTGTTTTTGTGATCTGCCGATGACGGTGCTCCTCCCGCTAACCAGGTGTACACCTTCATGGCGCTGTTGTGTTTCGCACAGTAGTAACAGTACATCTCAGGCTTTAAGAGCTGTCGCAAAAATTGCATGTGATGCATTTCTCATACGTATGGGGCTACTCCGCGCTTAACATACAACGCTGGTTGACCCATTAATAAGTCTGTATGATACTACAAGTACACTGGGAAGAATATTTCAGCGTTCTCAGCGCGTCGACCTACGAAGGCGTTGACAAAACGATGGAACACAAGTATTCAGAACTCTTTTATAGAACACTCCTATGCCACTTGTCCTCAACACCATCAGCCATCGTCAAGTACGGCATCAAATCACTCGTCAAAAACTCGCTTGGCCATTGTTGCCTGACTTGATCCATGAGATATTTCGTAGCAATTTTCAAGTGGTCATCCTTGACACTTGGGGCGATCCTCTGGACGCCGGGTGCTTGCTCTGCGATGATGCGGTCGACGTACGTCGCGGTAATCTGCTCGCCAGTGTCAAGGCGTGAACAGTACTTCACCCACTGCCACAGTTGCACACGTGCGATCTCAGCAGTAGCAGCATCCTCCATCAAGTAGCTGACAGGGATGCAGCCATTGCCGCCGATCCAGGCTCCGCAGTAGGCTAGAGCCACAGAAACATTAGAGCGAATGCCGTCCTCAGTAATCTTTCCGGGAACATTGGAGCTCAGCAAGTCCGCGGCAGCGACTTTCACATCCTCCCGTCGGACGTGATACTATGGCCCATAGATGATCAGCATTATCACGGATACAAAAATATCGCAAATGCGAACCTGGTTAGGACCCAGCATATTTTCGTCAAACACCTTGCGAGCGATCTGGTTGATCAAGGGGTGCGCAATCCAAGTTCCATCATGGCCAGCCGTGACCTCGCGAAGCTTGTCTGCTCGGACCTTCTCCATTGCCACCTCGTTGGCTTTAGGGTCATCCTTAATAGGAATTTGTGCAGACATGCCGCCCATGGCAGCAACCTTCCTCCTAAAAACAAATGTGAGCACTGTGATAACGCGCAAAAATAGCCTTACTTATGGCAAGTTTGAATCAGAAGACGCACATACGCATCCATGAAAGGCACGGTCATGGTAACGTCCTTCCTGTCTGGTAACACGGCACTTCTGTCAGCCCTGCGCTTCTTGATTGCACTAAATATGTAGTCCCATCTAACAATACACACGCGAGTGAGCAAACTGACCATTCACAAAAAACCATGTACATCTCCCTCACCTTCCACAATTGAGTCCGGCAGAGTGATTTCTGAGCTCAAAAAGAATTTCTTCCATCTGGAATGCTGCGGGAAGCGTCTCGATGAGGACGGTTGCCCTGATTATGTTGTGAGGTATTCCAATGTAAGATTGTGAAAAGAGGAAGACGTCATTCCACAGACGGGCCTCGAGATAGTGCTCCATCTTGGGAAGATAGAAGTAGGGGCCCGAGCCACGCTTTATGAGCTCATGAGCATTAGTGTAGAAGTAGAGCCCAAAATCGAAGAGAGACCCAGAGATAGGGGTATTGTCGACCGTGACACGCGTCTCGTCCAAGTGCCAGCCCCTAGGTCTACACAAAATATAGATAACCAATGAGCCAGCATAAAAGATATCAAACGTACCGGACAAGAAGCACAGCTGGGTTCTCAGATAGCTTATATTGCTTGCCGCTGGATGAGAAGTCGATTTGTCGGTTAATTGCATCCCGCAAATTGACTTGACCGACGATCATGTTTGCGAATGTGGGAGCACTAGAATCTGGAAACATTCTATTAACGCAATCATTAGCATCATGAATTGATCCGCGTACCTTCAAAGTCTGCCATGAATGTTTTGGCACCACTGTTCAGAGCATTGATGACCATCTTCCGGTCAGTAGGACCAGTGATCTCAACGCGTCTGTCTTCGAGACCAGGTCCAGGGGGTGCACAGTGCCATGAAGGTTCAGCACGGATGTGAGCTGTTTCAGGAGGAAAGTCAAGAGGTACTCCTGAGTCAAACCTGCGCTGTGCATCATCGCGCGCGGCTAGGAGGCTCTGCCTGGTAGACTCGAAGGTTCTATGAAGTGCAGCGAGAAATGCAACCGCGCCATCGGTGAGGATTTGAGACTGGGCGTCCTGGGCGACCTTTGTGTGAATCTGAACACCTGCAACCATGATTGAGGAATATAGGGAGCAAGATCAGTAGCGTGCGTATTAAGTACTAGGTCTCGGGACTCCGACATACCGCGTTAGTGTTTCCGTGAGCATGTGTTTTTTGGCCCGATATTGACCTGTTGTTTTTGGGTTGGTTTTCGGGTGTCCATCGCATGTCCGCATTTCGGAATGTGCGTCATTTGATCGAGTCACTTTGAGCCCACCGAAGGAGTTGCATCCTCCCCGTTCCCGTTTCCGTTTTTCAATTTCGATTGATTGTCGTAGCATTCAAGTTGGCCGCACTTCTGGCAGTCGATCTCCGCATACGCACTGCTCGTATATGTGACATATCCTCGTCGGTCTCGCGTTTCTAGATGAATCATGAACAATATAGGAAAGTAGATGCAAGCATCGAGAAGACTACTGTTCATCTAGAACCTCGTACCGGCAGCAGTTCAAGGGACGTGACCACGGTCTCGCGTACATGTATCCGGCACACATGTACGTAATAGATACCAATTTCAAAAGCCTGAAATCAAGATGAAGCTGGTTCACGTATACTTGGAGGTCTTATCCAGCCACTTCGACGGATACGCAATCGCCACCCGCCGAGGAACTACTGGTGATTTCGTGAGACTCGTACCAATACTGCCGCAGACCCAGGCCTCAGGCTGACAGGGGCCAGAGCTGACTCGAGATGCGACGCCACAATCATTGGACGATGACGGGAGACGCTGATGCAGATTGGATCGAGAAGCGCTGTAGCAATGGCCCGACTATCCGAAAATCTAATGAATCCGTGATCATAACTAAAGTCTAGACTCGATCCATAATGATACAAGATAAAGCTGTATTGTGAACAGCCAGCTGGAACGAAGGGACAGCGGTGAGGTATGAATCCAGAATTTTGATATGATATCGTAGCATGTAATATTACTTCCGTAGAAGCTACAGGGAAATACACTAAAACGCGAAAACAAACAATTTAGTGGACAAAATGGACAGAAATTATCCCCAGTCAACTTCCAATTCGTGGGCTAGCCAGTCGTCGTCTTCATCGTCTCCATCGTCAGCATAATCGTCGTCCTCAGCACCTTCCTCGAAACTCTTGAGCGGTACGGATAATAGTGGTGATGGTTTACGGCTGTGATCCGAGAGCGACTCGGTATCCACCAACTCATCAGCAGTAACAGCCTCTTTCAGTTTGGATGCTCCACTTCGACTTGCGGCTAGTTTCTTGCGCTTGGCAAGGGGAGAACGGAGGACATCGCCCTGCCTGTCGCCAACCCCGTTATTTCCACCGTCCGAGGGTGTGACACTACGTAGCCTTTTGCGTTTCAGTCGAGGGGTAGTAGTTGGACTACTGTAGGAAGGATGGGGTTAAACCGGCAAATTTAAGGGCGGGATTCGAACCTTAGTTGACTTCGAGTGTCATCAAGCATGGCATCATCGCTATCAGAAAACGCACTTCTCGCACTACTCCTCTCACTCATGGCATCATCTTCATCGTCGCTCTCGTTCATAGCAGCTTCTACTTCATCATTGATATCGTTCCAATCGATGTCGTGAAGCTCCAAGGACGCGCTCCCTGCTGGGGCAGGCTCCACGTCCCAGTCGTCTGCATCGGGCTCCGGATCTGAAGAAATCTGGTGTGGGTCGAGGATCGGACTAGAACTGGGAGCGGCAGCTGACGGGTCATCCAGTAAATATGGAGTCTCATCTTGTCGACGCCACAGTGCTATTGAGTCCGTGAACCATGATAACCACACAATCTTGATTCCTCCTCGCTTCCGTGCGGCATCTACCTTGACTGTGCCATGCTGTGTAATAGAAGACGTATGAGCTAGGGTTGTATGAGACAGACAGCGAGCGACCTTGGCGGCAACCACGTGGGTGATTCGACTGGATAGCTCAGTGTAGCATTGTGCTCCAAACATGTGAGCTATTTTCCAGATCTCAGTTGTTTCGGGCTTTGTATCAAGAGGTATCACACTGGAAAATAATATATGTACCCCTTGCAGAGTGTCCATGCGCATTTGCGGAATAATTCTCTGTGGCGCAATTGATTGACGTTACATGAGAGATATAGACCACTTACTGTCACGTCGTGGGCTTTAGACCGCGTAAGGGTGGGCCGTCGTTTCTTACCTCGGTCTTCTGGCGATCTGCTGTCATATGAGGTAAAGAAGCGACGATGGACTTCCCCAAGTAGCTGTAATAAATTTAGTTGATACTACCTCTACAATGTGTGAGATACACACATAGCCAACCCGTTGAAGCTCGGTATCGTCGTTCTTCAGCAACGCCTTGCGTTGAACTTTCTCTGCTTTGGGGCTTTCCGCTGCCTTCATATCGCTCTTGGGATGACCAGGTGATGGATCCCCAGGTGGTGTAGTCGGTCCAGTGCCGTCAGACTCCAGCAGAGCTTCTTGCTTCTTGGCCAACGGACGCTCTTCGACTTGGGCTTCGAGCGCCATGGAATTTTGTGTTAGCATTGCCTTCGATTCCATCTCTGCTTTTTCGCGTTCTTCGGGTGTTGATGTTGGTAGTGATGGGGCTTCGGAACCAGACACAGGAGGTGAGGGCGGTTTGGCTAATCGGTCCAGTCAGCACGAACTTATGAAGATCATTTCTAAAAAGAAGACTCACCAAGAGATGGAGTTAGGACCGTGGGCGCGAGAGGTTCAATTTTAGGCAGGAAGGCAGAATTGATGTCTCCTATGCCAACGAAAAAATCGTCTTGAGAAAGAAAATCAGTGAGTGGTTTTAAGGCACGATATAACAAGGGCACGAACACGGGATGACTTTGATGAGGTTCGGACTCCACTCCCAAACGTCTGCACGATCATCGATGATAACTACCATGGATGTATCACATGGAAATAGACGTTGTAGACTTTTCTGCGTGAGACCTTGAATGATGTTGAGCTGCAGTATCAGCTATCAGATGAAGTTACTCACTCCCGCTTTCATCTCTACTGAGGATCCTTCCTCCAAATATTTTACCATCAGGGTCAATGGCAGCACAAACCTCTTCTGCGTAGGCTCGGGTACCCATGGTGTACACATGCATCTCGTACTTTGTCGATATATTTCGAAAGAATTCCTGTGTTCCAGGTCTTGTAGAAATGAGCTAGTCACCCATGATGACGACGAGGTAAAAGCCCTACTCACCGAGGTTTGATGTAATACATGCATCCTTCATTCTCGATTAATTTCTGCTTTCCCTTTCCTTTGTGCCCGCCTCTTGGAACTGAAAGCATTCCAAATGATTCTGGACCCAAACGAAACTTTCGTACATCCTGCAAAGCTTCCCAGTTTGGATTGCATTCGTCTTCAGCATCAGACGCTGTCCCGTCAGAGTCGTCGTCGTCAGAAGGTCCGTCCTTTGGAGTAGTCGATCCCTTTTTTGTTTGTCTGGCCTCCCATGCCTCGCCTTCTGCGATCCACTCACCCACAGTCGGGTCGACCGTTGCATGCACTATGGTTTGGTCAAGATCGACGATGAGAGAGAGTTTCCTCGACTTGAGTAAGTGGTCTGCTGTTTCCTTTTCTATCCTGCGGGCTTCCTCTAAAGAAACCGTTGGACCGAAAGCAGAATGCGTCATTTGGATAGATGCGCGCGACGCATCAGAGAATCCCGTATAATCAAATCTGAACGTGTGTTAACGGAGTTCATGCGACCTAGTAATACACGCACTCTGTCATATCCTTCCCGCACAGCCCACATAGTCCCCCAATCTGAACACCATGCTTGCATGGCTCCGTGATGCATATGATAGGCCTCTGTTTCGCCTTCTGGGCAGATATGGAGTCGCCAAGCTTGACCCTCCAGGATTCAACAATTCCTTCAATTGAGCAGTCCCATGTGCCAAACCGAGTTTCTGGCTTTGAGACTGTTGCAGGAGATGAATACAGGAAGGAGTACGTCAATAGCCGGGTTCCGCGCTGCACAGTAGTACCTAGGTGAACATCGAGAGATGTGACTTTTATAGGATATGGTAGCGTCGGTGGCAAGAATATATCTGTCGGACTCGACATTTGGCTGTCTGAGAGCCGAGTGTAAAGTTGATGTCTAGTGTAAACTTGAGCGATGACTTCGATGATGCACGAGACTGGGTGACTTTGTTGAACCGGCATTCCCTATCGAGTAACTTTGACCCTTCCGCTAAATAACATTTAAGTGATTGCCACACACAAGCCATACAGTGACACTTGGTACACAGATGTCGTCTCCGCTCTTGTTCTCCACAATCGAAGTTACAAGACAAGCATTTTATAGGACGGCGCTATCGTACGCCATTGTCAATCTCAAACCAATTGTGCCAGGACGTGAGCCTAGTTCTTGGGATATTTTAATCTCAGGCTCATGAACCAGACTTTTAGATGTGCTCGTAATTCCCAATCGACCCGTACCGCGCTTGACGGATCTCACTACACCAGAGTTAACGTCCCTCATCGCTTCTGTCCAAAATGTTGGTCGAGTGGTCGAGCGCGTGTACGGTGGTGATGCATTAACTGTGGCATGTCAGGTACAACCACTAGCAGACGAACACAGTACTCGATATTGATCTATACGGTCCAGGACGGAAAGGCTGCGGGACAGTCTATACCTCACGTGCACTTCCATATTATGCCTCGGAAATACCACGGAGACTACTTTTCGCAAAGAATGGATGATATATATCCTGCACTAGACCGGTCGGAAACGGACTTGCCCCGCGACTTCCAAAATCTCAAAGTGTCTAGCACCACGGTGCAACATCACCCATTCAAGGTCGATGCAGATGAGGACAGATTGCCACGGACGCTGGAGGACATGGAACAGGAGGCGACATGGCTAAAAGGCTTCTTCACAGGAGAATATCGTGACACTGACGCAGTGTGATGCCACGTGCGCATTTAGCTACTTGAAGGATTAAAGATATTTCAATAAGATTAAATCTATGCGTCTAGAGGAAGGTGTGTCTATCTTGGCCTAGATCGTATCATTCCAGACATTCCTAGCAATACTATGACCGCAACCTTCTACGTGCTTTCCCGAAGTACCTGAACCTGCGAGGCACAATACAGGCGGGGCCAGAATCGCGTTGTCATCCTGTTCGGAGTAGAATGCGCTCTCGCCCTCTATAGCTTCCAAACCATCATATCCGCTACCGCTGATATCCGCGGTGATGCGCATCATCTGTATGCCATTTTTCCAGGATCTATAAAGCCTGGATTTAACGGCTGCAAGCTGCGCAAGGCCTTCATCCCAGCCCTTCTCGAACTCCTCGCGAATAGTCTGATGTTGAACGTCGGTGATAAAGGATGCCGATGTGCACAGGGAGAGCAGCGCCGGTGGCGATGGAATGATGCGTACTTTAGGAATAACTATTCCAGCAGGTACGTGAATGATATCTGGTTCTGACGCAGTAGGTTCATCTCTAAGCGAGATAGTAGCTGTGGCAAGACCACGACGGCCTGGCCTTATGCGTCTTGCTGCAGGTTGTGGCATGACTGCTGGTGCAGTGGTAGTGGCTGCATTGTGCTGTAACCAAGTTTTCAACTCTTTTTCCCGTGCTTTCGCTCGCCTGACGGTTGCAGTTGCACATATCTTTCCGATGTTATTCCATTCCGTCGCCTGCGAATGGTCCCGAGCAACGCCGCATCCATCAAGAATCAGATGTTGCAGACCATGGAATCGAATGAGCGTCTCCTCCATATCCGAGGCGAGAACATTACATGTGGACAAGTCAAGAAGGCGTAATGCAGGGACGGAGGACGGGATGCTGTTGATGAATCGGGACACTTGGCGAGACGGTATGCGGAGACGCAGGTGCATCAATGAGCTGATATATTCTGAGCACAACAGGACAGATATTGGCTCGAGTTGAAAGAAGACGAGCGGTTGTGCAAAATGTTTCCCATTTGATATCAATGGTTCGGGAGGATCCTGGACGATAGATAGAGTTGGCAACTTGTAGGAAGGCCAACGGGAAAGTACAGTCAGGGTAGTATCGAAATAAGCTCCCTGAAAAGTACACGTTGAGCGAGAAGTAGAACATTCACGCGAGGTGTTACCTTGAGAAATTGATAATATGTGGCTACCTTGACGCTTTATCACACACACATGTCAGGAGGATAAACGAAAGGAATTGGCAAATTGACACTCACTAGGGGCGGAAACGTAAAGAGAGAAAGCGCAAGTCTTCTCTTGGTTCATGAAATATCCCCTCAAGATGCTCTGGAGCAAAATTGGGTCCGACAAAGAGAAGGAGAGAAGATATTCGAGGCAGGATCTCCAGTAGATTGACCAGGGCATCAGCATCGACAGTCCAGGTCACGATACCAAAGTCCTTGACCCAGTTCCTCTCGTTAGTGGCATTGCGCAAGCGTCTATGCAATTGTACGATCTGCTGCGCATGCTTGATGCGTATGCATTCGAATAAATGATGGATGGGCACAGGCGATCTGGGTATCGCTCTTGTTAGGGCAAGGACATCTTGCTGGAACGAGTCTGCTGGTAGGTGGCTGATGATTGCACTATACAGCTCTGCAGGAAGTCCATCCAACTGCATCACCGCAGAGGCTGGAGAAGGTAGGCTAACGGCGCTAGTACTAGTGGCAACGGTTGCCGGGGCGGAGTGTGAGACTTCGCGGGACATGTACTGCCAGAGTTAAAGTCAACGACAGAGAACACGAAGACTTTGCAGTATACCTAGTCAAGACTTACGAGTCGAGATGTCCTATATGAATGCGATGAGTGATTCAACCACCGAAACGAAGTGAAACTACTTATATGCTGCACAAATAACAAAGGCGTCGTAGCCGAACGGTCTGCGGCACCGTAGTTGAAAGGATGAGCTAGCGTGTCCCTTCGCGACGGAGCAGTAATAATTGAGTGAGCTAATGTGACTTAAGTTGTTGCCTACGGAGTTTCACGTCATCAAGTTACCAATGAGACTACCCTCCAGCCATACTAGTGTTCCTTCAGCACCTCCAACTAACAACTCAACTCCTTCAGCAACCGTCTTTCTGGTATCTTCCTTGTCCCCCCAATGCACCCGTGGGGTCCAAGCAACCAGATGTGCTCCAACATGTGCAATCGCAATCCTCGTGAGCGCTTCATCAGGCCCACTCCCTCCTCTATAAGCCAAGAGAAAGGATCTCATAATCGTGGACGTCTCCTCCTGGCGGCTCGGATAGAACCGCTGAAGCAGCCGCATCTCCGCGCAGAACTGACCAATGTCTAGCCCCCGAAGACCCTCCTTCGCCAACTCCCAGTCCAACACATAAAGCTTCTCTAACCTAAGCATGCCCCCTTCCGACTCTCTCCGAAGGGATACCATGATATTCCCGGGCCAGAAGTCTCCGTGTGTAAACACCTCTGTCGTGCTACCAATTTCATGACTTCGGGTCTCCGCTAGCTTCGAGATAATGGCCAATGTCCCATCAGGGATGTCGAGGCCGGGGTCAGCCAAAGCCGCGATATTATCTATGCCGGTAAGCGTAGATATGAGGCGATCGTATGTAACCAAAGCTGAGAGCATCCTCCCCAGTTCATTGTTGCTCAAAATACCCATGTCGAAAGACGCGTCTTTGTTCCAGGCATGGATGCGCCCGAGGAAACGACCGATCGCAGCACCGATTTCTTCGGCGATTGTCTGTGGCAGAGCCTCGTCGATTACCAGCTGTTTCAGCGTACGAGCGTCCGTTCCGCAATCGTCCATAATGATGACGTGGGCTTCTTCGTCGAAGAGATGGACATTAGGAACAGTGATGACATCGTCATCAGTGTGCATCTTGCGGACGAGTCTTAGGGCTTCCGCATCGAATTTCTGTCAGGTCGTTATCAGTCCAGTCACTATGTAACGCTACTTCAAAGGCAGCCTCACCTGGCGCTCTGTTGGGAGAGCCATCGTACCGCCGGATGCAGCAAGGTACGGTGCTGCATACTTCAACACCAATGTTTCCTTGCCCTCGAATGAGTCGTTGAGGTGTATCCTGTATGTGAAGTTGGCGAAGCCTCCTGTCAGCGCGTTTATTGTATGCGATGCGAAAGGGGTATTAGACAAGTATCTTCGTACGTCAGCGATGGTGGCGAGGTCAACGTCTGCCATGTCTGAGTAGACGGGTATTACTGGGTTATTATTCCTGCGACAGCTACATGCAACCTGCCTTTTAAGTACCTGTCGAATTTATAACGTTAAGCGCCCAGTGTTTGACTCAAGACGCTCGCCACCGGTAGAAGATGCGGATCCGAGGGATGTCATGCAGCGTCACCTCACCAACGTTCTCAGCGATTGCCATGTAACTATTAGGTATGGGCGTCCAAATCATGAACCATACAAGAGTACAACAATTGGATTTAGTGAAATATGAGTGGCTACAAGGAACGGATTCCAGAAGTTTGGTCGTGAGCACTTTCGTACAATAACTTTACAGCTTGTCGTAGTAGTGGTCGAGAGCTGGAATTTCGGGCTAAATATCGAGGGTCAGTCATATTACATGATAGCGTGCAGTCGCCCATTACCTTGAGACCCTTGCGCACACGGATGCCCCTGACAAGCTCTTCAATCTTGCTGCCCTTGTCGAGCGGAGCTGATAGATTTCATTAGCATCAGTCTTCACACGTCGCACTTGCAATTACGCACATCCGTTCATGAGTTCCCAGTGGTCGAACACACTCTGAGGGAAGGCTTGACCGGCTGTTTGTGAGCGGAGATCACTGTTGAAGCCGAAGGACTCCATGACAGGGAGGTACGCCTTGACGGTGAACATGGGCGTTCCTGGCCTCTGCTCTTCGCTGAAGACCTGGCCACGACGCCTGTTCAACACGCTGTAGATACCACCGATGGCGTTCTCAGGACATTGGATCTCGACTGTGAATGATATCAGTACCCGGAAAAATGCGATGCGAGCGGGACGTACCGAGGTACACCGGCTCCTGGAGACCAGGGGTAGCAAGCAAACATGCAGCGTAACAGACACGACGGCATGTAGGAATGATTTGTCCACCGCCACGATGGATAGCATCGGCGTGCAGCTGTTATCGTCGCATAAGAAGATGCAATAAAAGTAGGTATGAAGTGTACATACAGTGACATCAAGAACGTTGAAGCGGATACCACGCATGTTCTCCTCGGCGCAGACACCCTCCTTTGTCGCCCACTGGAAGGCAGCCACGCAAGAGTCCTTGATTTCGTTGAGGCACTGCACACCCTTGGTAACATCGACGAGCAAGTTGGGGCCAGTGGTATCGGGGCCGAAACACCAGATCTTCCTTGCGTCGGTGACATCCCAAGAGAAGTCATCAGCGAGGATACGAGCGCGGGCTTTGTAATCGTCACGGGAGTTAACGGTACCAGCCTCGATAGCTTTGGTGAGCTCCTCATCGAGAGGCATTGCCTTGACGTAGAGACGGTTGTGCTTATTCTGCGACTTGGACAAGGCCACGATTGAGGACTCAGCCTTGACAGTCTCACGGTAGCCAACAACAGGGTCAGATATCTTGAGAGGAACACCAGCGTGGTCTTCTTGGAGATCCTACAATAAGAGTCAGACCAACGAAATACAGGAAGGAGATAGGCATTTACCTTCAGGCAAATTTCCAAGTGCAGCTCACCGGCACCAGCAACAATGTGCTCACCGGTCTCATCAATCCAAGCCTGGACACAGGGGTCAGACTTCGACAGACGCTTGAGACCTTCGACAAGCTTGGGCAAATCTGCAGCGTTCTTGACCTCAACAGCGACCCGCACGACAGGGGACACGGAGAACTTCATGACCCTCATGTTGTGTGCAGTCTCAGAGGTGGTGAGAGTTCCGCTCTTGAGCAAGAACTGGTCAATACCGACGAGACCAACGATGTTACCAGCAGGACAATCTTCAATGGGCTCGATGTAACGACCCATCATGAGCACCGTGCGCTGAACTGACTTGACGAATAAATCGTCCTTCTTTCCAGGCAAGTAGTTGGGGCCTTGGATACGGATCTTGGGGCCAGAACGAACGGTACCAGAGAACACACGACCGAAGGCGTAGAAGCGTCCCTTATCTGAAGTGGGCACCATCTTCGAGACGTAGAGCACAAGGGGGGCCTTGGGATCGCAGTCCCTGATACCAATGGCAGACTCGTCATCCATGGGACCTTCGTAGAGAGTCTCAACACGGTAACGTTGAGCAGTGGCGGGGGAAGGAAGGTTGACGATTATCATCTCCAGGAGGGAGTCACCAGCGGGCAAGAACTTGCGCATGACGACCTTGAGGAGAGCCTTGCCCTCAAGGTCTTGCTCGTCAGACGTCAGCTTGACATCGAGCTTCTCGCAAATGGAACCGATTTGGTCCTTCTTGAAGTTCATGACGGCGTCGAAAATCTTGAAGATGGGCTCAAGGACGAACATGTTGAAAGACCGTTCAAGAGGTTTGCCATCGGCATCGGAGTTCTTTGTACCCCACTTGCGAGTGGCAGGGTTGAAGTAGTTGTCACCCCAAAGCTTAGCCAAAAGCTTGTCTTTAGGCACACCAAACCTTTTAGCGTAGCGACCAGCGAACTGGCGGAGGGTGAAAGCCCATCCATGGAGACCTGAACCGAAAGCAACGGTACCCTTGTCTGGGTAGACCTGGACGTCACCAAGGGCAGCGTCATGGTAAGTCGAAACGATGACGTTGACCGTCTCGATGGTACGCTGGAACGACTGGTACAAATCCTCTTTTGAAACTTGGAGCTCAAGCAGAGCACGGTCGACCTTGTTGATGATGACGACGGGTTTAATACGCTCCGTAAGTGCTTGACGAAGCACCGTCTCTGTCTGCACGCAGACACCTTCGATACAGTCGACGACGACGAGAGCACCGTCAGTGACACGGAGAGCAGCTGTGACTTCTGATGAAAAGTCGACGTGACCTGGTGAATCGATCAAGTTGATCAAGAACTCGTTGCCTGAAGTAGTATTTCATTAGCAAGATTTTGCAAAATTTAAATCGAAGACTTGCCTTCAGTCTTCTGCTTAATGTTGTCGACATCGTCCTTGTCCATTTCGAAGTACATGGAGATGGCTGTCGATTTAATTGTGATACCACGCTCCTTTTCATCTTCTCGTGTGTCCGTAAACCGCATGTCACCAGCTTTTGCTGCAGCAATGATACCGGCTTTTGAAACGAGGGAGTCGGTGAGGGTGGACTTTCCGTGATCGACTGCGTAAGTAATTTAGATTAGATCGATATGTGATCATCAACAGGATCTTGCTCACCGTGGGCAATAACGGACATGTTACGGATGTTCGTGGGCTTGTCCATGAGCCCACGAATCTGGTCTATGATTCAAAGAATCGTTAAGAAAGAGATCGAGTTTTCTTGCACGATCTATGTGCTCACCTACTGTGAAGTTGCTATAATCATAAACGATGATTAGTGCATCGGAAACATAGATCTAAGCGAATACGTACACCATCGTGTCTAGATTTTACAAGGATGCAATGAGAAAAAAAGAAAGAAACGAGATCCTTTTAACCGAGTCGGACGGTGAGTCGAATGCACACCGGAGCCGTAGTCTGTTGGACGGTGAGTCGAATGCACACCGGGACCGAAGTCTGATGGACGATCAACGCAACACGTGAGCTTGCGAGCATATGGCGTTGGAGTGGGGTCCCACGAGCATAGCATAGGAGAGGAGAGCCCAGCGCCCCATTCCGAAGCTTGGTCAGCAGGGTAGCATAGGTTGTTCTTGTCAGTAGCACACACACACTCGCTCCGACACCAGTAGCTGTGAATTGATGTATCAGTCCTTGTAGCACAACAAAAAATCAGATACATCAATGGGGTAATTCATCGTGAGGTAGCTTATGAAATCAGATGTATCAGAGTGGCACTGCCAATACATCCCATATTTAGTGGAGGATGTTACAAGCGATCCGCTCGCCTGCGGACGGTTCAGTCATATCGTCTACGGATTGGTTTATGCGCTGATTCCTTGGCAGCCGTCGAACGTTGTCGCATATGCAGGCCGTAAAGGAAATTGGGCAAGACGACGCCATAACGATGAGGTCGAAAAATGCGGATGAGTTAAACAGAAACTAATGCTCGATCAAGGCCGCAGCGGCAACCGTGCGAAAAAATTTAGAAAACAAAGGAGCTGAGGTGACATGCCTACGCCAAAGTGAAGCAGAAGAGGGGTTCGGGTGGAGCCCGCACATGGCGACGACACGAATTGGTTCCGCGGCATCAAATGCTCCGTCCTTACAATAGTGGTTACCTTGGGGAGCAAGGTCTATCACAATGGAGCGTGATATGTAATGGTAAGTGAGACCAAACAAACACGTGATATTTTCCCAATTGAAACCAAACTCGTCCCGCGCATCTGTGGGCGTGGGAGCTAGAGTACCAGAGAGAATCATAATATATTAGAAGGCACCTGCTGTTTTGGGTGGGTCTCAGTAAGTCTCTAGATCTACAGAAAGTCCCTAGGCTAAGTGAGAGGGAGATGGGACATCTGACTTGACGACTGAGGCCTGGGTTGTGCCAGGAGATCGAGGGGACACAGAACCACCCAACAGTGCAGGAAGGACGCAGGACATGGATGGGGACCCGAAGATGCATGGAAGAACCCCCACAAGCAGAGGAAGGTGACGCAAAGGAGTGAAAACGAATGCAAGAGGATGGACGGCAGAGGCCCTGGAGAGTTAAGGTTGAGGTATGGAGGACAAGTGTGGGCTGAGTAACTCAGCATGCAGGGGAGCCAGGTGTTCAAGGCAACACCAATAGTGCAGGAAGGCATCGGAGGACCAGCAGCCTAGGGTTTTGACAATGTGTGGTGGAACACTGCAGAGCAGGAGCTCAGTGGTCCCCCCAATATGAAAGGAGTGGCCAGAGATCACAGGGTGGCCATGTTGTGACCACACATCATTGCAGCGTGATAAGAATTTTCGCTTTGTGAGGGGGACAAGAGCCCCAGATGGGGATTGGTAGGCAAAAAGGTGCGAAGATGGTCGGAGAGGGTTGACTGAGAGATGGTTATTGAGTGAGGCAATTGGATCAGAGGGTGCATGTTGGTGACCCAAAAACAGATCCTCACCATGATCATGCACAGTTTTGGACCAAGGGAGGAAGAGCATGCAAGAACGGCCAGTGGTGGATATGGGATGTAGGTTTGCCACTGTGGGGAAGTGGTGAGGCGAGAACTTGGCTTGGGAGACAGGCAGAAACTCACCTAGGCGGGCTTGGCCCCAGGTGGTGCAGTCTGCTGCTGCCAGACAGGCAGCGTTGAGAGGATCAGCGAGTGAGAGGTGGGAGTGCAGGAGGATAAGCATGTCAATAGTGACAGGAGGACAGGCAGGCTGTTTGGAATCTGAAGGGGTAGCACAGTGAGCACCGCGGTGTGGGAAACACAACAAGAAGAGAACTCTGTAAAGTACTCTTCAAATGTTGGGTCAAAATTGCTATGCCTAGCTGCTATTTGACCCTAAAGGATTTCTGTACTAGACTCAGAGCTCAGAGAGTAGAATTATCATCAAACAAAAGACTGTGATTCAGACTGGTACTGACAGTGGTGAAAGGGAGACATGCTTATGTAAGCAGTAAAAATGCGAACATAAACTAATGAAAGTGGGTAAGTGAAGGTAAGTAAAAAGGGGGAATATCAGCCCAGGGAAAACTATATTGTCACAGTGGATAGTGTAGGCAAGGCGGGTACCCCCTTGGTAAGGGACACCATTGAGAATGTGCCAGGCCCAAATGCCAGACAAGTCATTGGCGATGGCACCACCTGAGTGAGAGCCGGCCTCGAAGGCAGCAAAGGCACAAAGGAGAAATTCATTGGTGGGGAGGGTGAAGGAGTTGTGGATGTTGTTGGCATTCCTCCGCTTGTGGGGGTTCTTCCGTGCATATTCAGGTCCCCATCCGTGTCCTGCGTCCTTCCTGTGCTGTTGGGTGGTTCTGTGTCCCCTCGATCTCCCAGCACAACCCAGGCCTCAGTCATTGAGTCAGATGTCCCATCTCCCTCTCACTTAGCCTAGGGACTTTCTGTAGATCTAGAGACTTACTGAGACCCACCCAAAACAGCAGGTGCCTTCTAATATATTATGATTCTCTCTGGTACTCTAGCTCCCACGCCCACAGACATGCGGTGTCATGCATGGTATGTGATCCATACCATGACATATACACAACAACAGTGACAAGGAAGGTAGAAGACACCAGACTGATTCCTATCACCAAGTTACCTTATCATTTTTCATTCATTTCTTAGCTAGTATTTTCACTTTCAAACTTCACTTCTATTTTTTCTATGTATTTCTATTTTGTTCCATGAGATTCTATCTCTTTCTATTTTTCTAGGCACACTTAGCCACCAGACTTTTCCTCAAGCCACCAAACATGTTAGTAATCATGTCATGTGACTGGGAAATACTCTGATTTGTAAGGATTCAACTTGACTCATCATGTTTGGTCATGATTCATCATGCTTTGTAAAACTTGCAACTGTATTTTTAATCCACTTTGTAATAAGGCTGATTCAGCACACCTAAGGACTTGGTTTGTAAGCACATTCTTACCAATCCATGTGATGACTCATGCTTTTCACTTTTCATTCTTTGTAATACTACACTTCATTTTGTATGTACATTAGTAAACAAGCTGACTCAACACAAGTTTGTAAGCACATTCTTACCAATCTATGTGATGAATCATGCTTAGTAAGATGGCCTCCCAAAAGGTATATAAGGAGCCCATTTTCACCCATGCAAATTAAGCTTCCCACTTTAACTCTTTTCTCAAACCGTGTGAGAACCAGTAAGATCTAAGTGCAGGCCATTCAGCAGCCTTGAAGTTAAGAATAAGAAACATCTATTCAAGTTATATACTACTTTACAGGGGTTGACTATATAACAAAGTACAGCTACCTAGCTAATGTTCATGAGCACTACTTTCCACTCTTTTTCAGGAAGGGAGACACGAATCATGAGACACACTTCACAAATCCACGAGCACACACTTGCCCAAACATGTACAAACTTCACACTCAGAATTTCAAGAGCACAGACATATTTCACAATCCATGAACACACTTGCCAAAACATGTACAAACTTCACACACTACTACAAGACCAAGAGGTTTAAACTAACTGAGGAACAAGAAGGAGAATATTGAAAGACATTCCTCCCAAGAACTCAGCACATTATCTACCACGAAAACTAGAAAAGTCGTAGACTGTGTACTTAAGGACTGGCAAGAAGTCTTATCCTGTATAGTTGTGTTGTCACTATATACGCGTTGTATATAAGACCCTTAAGTAACAAGACATCGGGACGAGTTGTTCCTTCTGAGGTGTGAGGGATGAGTGCCAAAGAAGGGTGACTTGTGACCAGGAAGATGGGCCCATGGCGGCTCGGGATCTCCCGCAGCCTCTTGTATGGAGCCACCATGGTGCCCACAAGCCATTTTGAGGGCAACGGGATCTGCATTTTCTGTGCCCTACCCACCCTCTGCTGTCTGACTGTGTCCTGTCCTTTTTCCCACAGCGGCACCCTTGTGCTGTCAGATTGGGGTGGTTCTGTGTCCCCTCGATCTTGACACTCCGAGATATATAAATACAAGATATCTGCTGAAACAATGAAAGAGAAACAGGATAGTGACAAACTTGACACAGGTTGTGATCTGGACACAATATGCATGTGATTTATTTGTCCAAAATGAATTACAAGGACTCTGATCAGCAAGGTCACCTTGCATGGTTGATTTTCTGCCATTTCCAAATAATGGTAAATTTTATGATGCAAAAACATGTGACTATCCAGAAGGGTCACAACTGCATCCAACTCCTTAAGGATTTTGATAGTGACCTATTTCTTCAACATCCATCAGAGGATCTGTGTATCGAAGACACTAGGATAGAGTGACTTGTGGAAAAAACAAAAACATGTTACTCTAAGATGTAAGTACCATCTAATGAAGAAAAGCCAACATTGACAACCCAAGTTGGCGCTAGGGGTTTCAAACATGGAAGAAGGGAAAGTGGCAGAAGCAGATGACAGGTGCAGACTGTCTTAGTTGCATCATTCTCTCCAATGGCACCACACCACAGGCAAGCAGTCCAAAAAAAAGCTGAAAAAATGCTATTTGACAGGCCAACATTGAAACTGCTATCAGCCCTACCTGTTCTTGCAGGTGCCATCTTGATAATGGTGATAACACTGCAGAATTACTGCAGGATGTGATTCCCCCATCAAATCTAGTTTGCGAGCCATTCAGATACCAACCTTAGCCTGCACCTCAACCCTTGATGTCAAGAAACAAACAAATACTAGATTTTCCCCCACCTGGGTATGCCCCCCACGTTATCCAATGCAGCATCCTGCTAGACTCGTGACCAGCCCCTCTATGAGGCAAAGTGTCGATAGAGGGACTGGTAAACTGGCTTTGAATTTGGATGCTGAGCGGATTCCCAGGGTAATGTGATGTCTGGCCAATGAGAAAACCAGGGTTTTTCAAGCTGTGCATAGAATACAAAATAAACAATATAATTTTCACTATTGATGTGACAGGACGCGACCTACACTTGCAAAATCAATGGACCAATCCTCCATCATCCAAGCCTTTCGTGATGCTTCCCTCGATGCATTGGATCACTTCGCATGTGATTTAATCAAAGAACAACTCCCTGCTGACTATATTCAAATGCTCAATAATAACGACAGAACAGACGCATTATGAGCGTGCTTGATCATCTATGTTCTGACAGCAACAGTTATGGTTCCGCATCAATTCCAACTCGAAGCTGTGCTCACAACCCTGAATGGTTGAGACAGTATTATAACCACAGGCACTGGCAGTGGGAAGACACTGTGCATCATCACTCCTATCCTACTTTGTCTGGGTACTGTGACCATGACGATTTCGCCACTCAAACGGCTCCAGGCCACACAGGTAACTCAGCTTAAGTGTAATGACTTCGTGTGCATGCAAAATATACTATTACAGGTTCCTGAGTCTGTAAAATATGGCATAAATACACTATCCATCAATGAGGACATACCAAATGATCCGTCTCTTTGGGAGGTAATCATCCAATACTTGTCTATGCATCTTTGTGCAATTTTTGACACTTATGAGAAGCATACAACTAGGACATTTACACTGGAAAGTTCTTGCATCTGATCATTTCACCAGAACAGTTATCCATGTTCAATGGGCATCTCCCACGTTTGCCCAACTCATTCAACAAGATCAGGCCTTCACTCAATGAATCAAGTGTGTACATGTTGATGAAGCCCACACGCTGCAAGCTTCTCGAATTACATATGGAGAGATGTGAATGATATGCAGGGACCACAGTGGTAGAGTGCTGTGATTGTTTGTTTTGAGGCCCCATTGGTCCTAAGGTGAAAGGAGCTGTGAAGAAGACACTGTGGTGTGAACACTGAGAAGCGAGTTGCGTGATGATGATATTACATGCCTTTGAATGCAAGGCTGTTCATTAAAAGTGCAATAAAAAATAGCAGATCATACAGTACTGCAGTCCTTGAGTTTGTTCTTATCTTTTGTACAGTCTGTTTGAGCAGCACGATGAAGAATAGAGTTGAGGACTGGCACTTTTGAGACAACTGCATTCTGGATTGTTGAATTAAGATCCCACATCAAGAGGAACTCCAGAGTGATCGAGTCGAGTGTCCCTTGCAGAATCTCCTTCACCACATCCATCTCCTGGTTGACTATAGTGGAGACTGAGGAAATGACACGAGGACGAAACCATTCCATCATTTGAGTGCAACCGTGTGAATCTGTGAACAAGCAATCAAACATCTTCTTGAGCTTTCCCACTGGAGGCTTCTGTTACAGTCAAGTACGCCCCTATTCATTTCTTTCTCTTACATCATTGTATTACATCACGATCGCATCTTGCCGTCGCTAGATGATCTATTCTTGTTATCGTTGACTCGTCTTATCTCTGACTCGTCTTATCTCTGACTCATCGTACCGGCCCTAAAGTCGTTATCATTCACTATATAAACTCGTCCTGTACTATGTAGTTCTTTACTTTAATCTTACTAGGTTTTACCTGGAACTTCCTTCGCTTAAGACCTCCAATCTTAAGTCGTATTGAACGTGATTCAAGTCGAGGACACTCTCCTTGCCTTGTCTTAAGAAACCTTGAAACTTCGGTATACGCCGAAGCCTTGAAACGACCTTGGCCGATTACTCTTATCGAGTAGCCATACGTCAGAATCATCCTAGTTCGTAACAGCTTCCCAACATCTACACTCATCTTTTCCTGCCAAGAACAGTTGAATATGCGGTCACGATTATATGCAAAACAAGCCTCTGACGGATCGAGAATTTTTAGCATAAAGTAGAGGATACTAATACAGCCATCTTGGAGGATTTTGACAGCAGCTTTGATGTGCTCCATTGATGAGAGGCGTGAGGAAGGTGTGATCATAGAATCCGTAAATGAGGTGCTTGATGGAGGATCACCTGTGATATCCACAAACCTGGAGTCCACAGAGCGGTTCAAGTTACTGTTTAGAATTGAAAAGGACATCATATAGAGCACAAAGAGCAAGTAGCATTTGTTACATGAGGCAATGGTGACAAACAAATGCGCTGTTGAGCAGCTAGCACAATGAGTCGAACATTGATAAGAAACTCCAAGTACGAGACTTAACAGACTTTGCAAGGCTTTAGCAAAAGCTCACATGGTCTTTGATATCCCAAAAAAGGATTATCCATCACGTTACCCTGGGAATCTGCTCAGCATCCAAATTCAAAGACAGTTTTACCAGTCCCTCTATTGATGGTTTGCCTCATAGAGGGGCTGGTCACAAGTCTAGCATCCTGCACCTCAGCCTCACCCTCCACATATTTCACACCCTCCCTTTGCACTGGTGAGTTGCAGTAGCCCAGATTTCTGAGTTGGTACTATGGTGCAGACTCAACACAGGTATGCAGCATCAATTTTATCCAGCAGGCTATCATCAACACCAGTACTACAATCATAGTCAGTAGTAGATGAACCAACTCAATGATTTGCTGTGTCTACCATTTTTGAGCCTTTTGTGATGTACAACACTTCAAAGATTCATGCCTGTGAAGAGTGAAAGTCAACTGTGCCACTACTGTGCCAAGGCATGACAAGACATGACCATACTTTTGCAGATTAGACCCTGAGTTTTGTCAGGTTTGCTCTGATACCACACCACATTATCCTAAAAATCAGTAAAAATCAGACCCATGTAGATGAGATATGAATACATGATGGGGCAAATTTGTAAAAGAAAATGTGATGTGATTCTAGTTCTCAAAGTCGAACCTTGAAAAAAATTCATAGCAAATTTGGATGCTGCTGATATGGCAGGTTTTGAACTCCGACCTGCCCTTCCAGCATTAGAAAATCTCCCAGTTACTTTTTGTATCTTATTTGCTCCTTTTCCCCCTTAATTCATGCAATAAGGTGAATTCATGGTCACTCACTGGCACTTAAAATAAGGAGGATAAGAAGATCCATCTCCTTAAATTAAGGTGGTGTCATATCCCGTGCCACGGACCTATATCCCATGATATTCCCATGCCTTCTGGACACACATCCAGATCTCCATACCCCCTGTCCAAGCCTCCAGACCTCCAATCCTCTATCCATCTGGATCCCTGCACCCTTGCACATCCACGCATCTGCATATTCTGATCCACTCACCCCTGTACTTCCACATATCAATACTCCCATGTTCCAGACCTACATCTGATAACATTCCGACGCCTTCCGGACATGCATCCGGACCTCCATACCCTTATCCATGCCCCCAGACTTCCAGTCTACTATCGGCCCAGATCCGTTTACCTTCGCACACCCAATATCCAGACACCTGATCTGATGTCCAGATCCGTACCTTCATATCCAGATCTCCGGATATCATCTGTACCCATCCCCAAACCCAGAACCTTAAATCAGTGTCTATCCCCTTATGGTAATCCCCTTGACTCCGGACTTCAGTTATCTGTGTATCCGTCTTGCTGATTGATCCTTGTGCATACTTCATCTCCAAGTTCATTTACTTATGTTCCGACTCACTTACTAATGTGTTTCCACATGCTCGTACATAGCCTTAGTCCCTCTGCTTACTGATCCTTTCATATGTCCTCCAGTATATAAACCCTTGTACAACTCCTAGAGTTCCTTAGTTCGAATATCATCTTAGACTTCACTCATTCTGCTCTCGGACTTCAGTCCATCTTAGTCTGACCTTTCCTTAGGCCTAGGGAAGGATTCCCTAGGCCAACTTTCCGGTCCTCTGGATTTATCCTTCCGTCTCCATCCATGCTTAGGGATTGATTCCCTAAGCCGGAGTTTTGCCTTTCCAACACTTCCTGTCTTTCCGAGACTTTCGTCTAATCCCTGTCCCTCCGACTCTACCTAGTGTAGTCCTTCTCTGTTTGCTTCTACTTTGGACTGCGTCCGATGTAGCCCCTATCTCCACTTCGTACCTCTGGAACTATATCCTGTCCTTTGTACCTTCGGACCTTCAGACCTCCTGTCCTTTGTACCTTCAGACCTCCGGTCCTCCTGACCTTCATACCTTCGGACCTCCAGACCTATCCTCCTGATGTAGTTCCACTCTATCCTACTTTGGACTTTGTTCCTTGCAGTCCCCCTTCCATTCTGTTTCCTCTAGAGGCAATGCCTTAGGGTCTCTCTACTTCCATGCAGTGGAAACTCCTCCAGACTTTCCTGTACTCCTCTGGAACTCTCCCGTGTTCCTCTGGACGTTTCCTGTGTTCCTCCAGACGTTTCTCGCGCTCCTCTGGAAGTCCTCCAGCACTCTACTAGAGTAGCCAGCCTCCGGAAGTCCTTCGGACTTCGTCGGACCATCATCGGACTTCATCTGAAATCAAGGGCACCATACTCAGGTAAGGGGCACAGCATACAAGCTGAGGCCAAGCCCTTCAGATCCCGTCTACCCATGAGCATGGTCTTAACAGGTGGTTTCCTTAAATCTCACTTGTCAAGGCAGATAAGGCAGTCAAAAATACTATTATTTCTGGATGGAGAGAATGACTAAAATATGCTAAGGCAAAAAAGGATGTCCATCAGTTCAAGGTGCCCTATGAAAATCATGAAAAAAATTGATAAAAAACATGTCCAAAAACAAATGATAACAGTGTGAGCAGGAACTGATGTGATTAATGATTTGAGGGGTGGAATGAGTGTGCAAACCAAGTCTTGTCAAATATCATGGTGTCAGTAAGAAAATCAAGATAAAGGAAAAAAAAATACAGATGTGAATATGCAAACATGGATTCACAGGTACCTGACTTTCACTGTTGGGAATAGTGTCTTCTTTGTCTGGACCCTTGTAGTGCAAACACTTTGTGTACAGTTGAGATTGCCTGACAATCTCCTTTATGTGATCGAAGGGCAGCTCTTTGATCCGCTCCATGTTATTAACAGTTGAAACTAGAAGACAAGTCTCAGCATCATTAAGAGAACCGCTTAACATTAATAATACCTAGAAGATGAGTCTATAAATGAAACATAGTAAGAACAAGACAGCATGCAAACAGAACATGAGACATACCTTAGCATCATTAAGAGAACCACCGAGGTATGAGAAATGAGGAAATGCGAACTTATAAGCTACTGTACAGAGTTCAAGATATTAAAGACTAAAAAGGAAAAACAGCAAGAATGATGACATCATTGACTCTCAACACACCCCCTCAATGAGACAACACTTCAAAAACAAGGGACAGGCCATTACAATGATAAATGAATGTGGGGCAAGGCAAGACCTTGGTGAAGATATCTGCGGTATTTTTGTGTGTAGAAACCCAGACTGGTAGGAACATATTGGGGGTGTCTGATGAAGGGATAGTGTAGATCTATGTGTTTTGTCTAAATATGGTTCATGGCTTCCTTGGATAGGGCGATGGCTCCTGTGTTGTTGGTGAAGAGTTGCATGGGTAGGGATAAGGGAAGACTGAGGGAGTTGAAGAATGACTGAAGCCATAAACTGTCCTAGTCTCCCAGGATCGCTGGCAAGCGCAGCCCCTTGGATAATCAACCTTACAGAGATGAATTCAGGAGATGACCGAGGTTTAGCTCATATATGACATAGTCCCAGATCAGTATCATGTTTGCTATGGACACCAATTCCGACATCATATGGATGTATGAGTGCCAGTGAAAGATTGGTTTCATCAATTGAGCAACCGAACATGAAGATAAGGCGAGCAAAAAATGATTGATTGTTGGTTTGAACCATAACACAATCATATTGCAGAGATCCAAAGAACTTGGGGTTGCATCGAAGGAGGTCTTTGCACTGGCCCCAGTCGACCACAGACTCGTAGTTGACTTGCAGATATTTGTATCCAGCAATCTAAATATTATGTTGCACAGCACAATTTTAGTGAGTAGTTAGCAGGGTGAGTTGTTGGTTACCTTGTTGTCAGCCTGCAAATGAATGCACTTATCATTTGGTAAAGGAATATCATTACTGGGGAAGAATGTGTTCAGGAAGACATTGAGTTTGATCCAAAAACCAATGAAGGCCCTGTCATCTGCATGCAACTGCTCAAGACTTGCAAATGAGATGTCTGTTGGGAGGTTGGCTTTCTGATTGTACTCATCCAACTTGTTGAGTTCAGAATGCATTGATATTGAGGTCAGCAGCTAATGATCATAGCAAAGAATCTGAACTGATTAAGGGCAATTCTTATTAGTTCATGTTAATCCAGTCCTGTTGACACATGAACCTGTGTAGCAACGTCCTTGAAATTTGTTCGATTGTGGTAGATGTCCCTCATGGGGCTCTGCATCTTCTCATTCGGTTTTGTGTTGTAGTTTTGTGTTGTGCCTTTCGCCAAGATATTGTCAAATAGATGTGAACTTGCGGGTTTCTTGGGGAAATTCCAGTCCTTGCCTGTTACAGGCTGTGATTTGAGAATATACTCCTAATCACAGATCATAGGTGAATGGTCGGGAAGTATTGCAAAGCATAACTTACCTCCATCAGCGCTGAAAATTCCTGCAGAGCATGTCTTCCTGCAGAAATTGTATCTTCAGTGTGAACCTCAAATCCAGTGTAAATGTCGAGATCAATATAGTGGCATATGCATTGCAGAAGTAGATAGCTAAGCTTACTCTGTGGATGGTGGAAGATCCTTTGTGCCACAAAGATAGCCATCTGAGGCTCATTAGCACAGAATTCAGCTTCAGTTGCAGCTTACCTTGGATATATCCTCATGATGTGAGCTATCATTGACCAACTACCTTCAAGAAGTGCATCAGGTTAGACCACCATGGAAAAGCATCATAGCTGAGGTGGTACTATTAAGTTTGAGGCAGTTCATCTTGGATAACAATATATACGTACTTCACATCCATCTGCACAACAGCTTCTCACCCTAATTCAATTATTCAGAACTGAAGCTCCCTCCACAGATGGTGCCTCCAAAGCCCTCCATGATACACATGCATGCAATCAGAGGAGAGTGCTTGGTGAATGTCAGTGAGCAGCATTCTCCAGAAGACATTCTGAAAATCATGTCTGTCAGTGTAATATATGTACCTGGAACTTCCTTCGCTTAAGACCTCCAATCTTAAGTCGTATTGAACGTGATTCAAGTCGAGGACACTCTCCTTGTCTTGTCTGAGAAACCCTGAACTTCGGTATACGCTGAAGCCTTGAACCGACCTTGGCCAATTACTCTTATCGAGTAGCCATACGTCAGAACCCTCCTAGTTCGTAACACTCTGTGCCAAGGCTCTAAGAGATCGGTGGGTGGAAGAACTGCTGCTGGTGCAACATGAAATGAATTGGACTTGTGACTTCTTTTTGCACAAAGCAGAGCAATGGATATGCCTTGCAGCAATCGCTGAGGAAGCTAGGAAGATGGGACATCTTGCGTATGTGGCACAGCAGTGCAAAATGTATCAGCGTCTGAATGAAGATGCTATGGATAATTTCAAAATTGCAAAAGCATCCTGCTGAGCGACAACATTGACAACAAATGATATTGTAGTACAAAATGTTGTAGATACATGCTACTCTGATTCATTGGTGGCCGGCTGCATTGGAGTCTTTGGTTCCCTCCTTAAATATTTGATCAAGGCATCTGTGGCGGTGATCGCTGCAATCACATCTTGCCCCAGAGCAGTCTCCATCTTCATCAAGGACGCAGCCACAATCTTTGCCTCTACCACCTTGTTTTCCATCATTTTCCAAATCTCATTTCCTTCTTGTTCAATTTCGGCATGGATGGTGGCCAATTGCTGAGCTAGCGGCGTGGACCTTCACAACAATTCGGTGATCCCTCGGTGATGTGACAAGAGTGCTTGTCTCCAGTTTACATCGAATCACCAGCAATCTGGATGTGGCGAATTTGAAGATATTAGCCATGTTGGCGAGATCAAAGGTGACACGTTGATTGGTGGGACTGCCACGTTTGGTGAAGGTGGGAATTTTGGACATGTTGGACATGGAGGATGACAATGATGAAGATCTTAATTTATGTCCCTTAGTGCCATCGGAGTTTTAATCAGATTGTGGTCATAGATATTGCCCACGTGTCAAATGATTTTCATTGGATACAGATTGTCAAGTACGTCTGGAATATTGTCTTCGGTGAGCACCGGCAGCAATCATTTGGATGTGCCAACTTTGCATCAATCTACGGATTACAGTATTGGTGATCACCACTGAGTCAGTGAATTATTTTTGTGGTTGCTGCCACAGTGGACAGTATTTGCAAGATTGTCAATTCCTGGCCACAATCGGAAATGTATTACATAATCATCCACTGAAGTGTCCATGTCAGACTTGTACTTATTTCATTCATTCAATTTCATCGCCACTCATCAAACTATCATCACCCCATCTTTATCCTGAACTCACAACATGACTCCTGCTATCGATTGCATCCACGAGAATGCCAACAACATCTTCCGGCGAACGGCAGATCACATTGAAGACCTCCTGGGACAAGCGCTACAGTTGGATGCTGCCAATCCCCAACATGTTGACATTGCACTGAAAATGGCTAATACAGTGGTGAGTGATATAAATTTCTTTATGTCCAAATAACTTCTTACCTTTATCAGTCTCATATATTTACAGTCTACGTGCTGCAGGTGACATCAGTGCCACCTATAGTGCTCTCTGCTGCTGCTGAATTGCATGAGCACATCAATTCCTCGTCCCGCTCAGTGGTCACCACCCCCATTTGGACCAACATTAGGCCCAATGATCCCTGCAGCCAAAACAGCCCCCTCTATCCTCTCAGTATTGGCTATGGGGAGCCTCGAAAACCGTCACCTCCTGTTGCCGGTCCTTCCCAGCCCAACACCATCCATTCCCGGGACACTGATGTTCCGGCAGGCAAGGGCAAGGGCAAAGAAACAGCTCAGCTTGAAGGTGAGGAAGATCGTGGATGGGGCAGGGAATGCAAGTGTCCACGCCCAAGGGCAATGAGTGTAAGCTCAAAAAGCCAAAGTTGGCCTCCAAAGGCCAAGCATCAGCACCAGCAGCCACTTTCAAAGGCAATCATCAGCAGTGTGGATGAAGAGGAGCTTGATGCCGCACCGGTTCCCCAGAAGACACCAGTTCCCAAGAAGACACTGGTACCCATTAACATGGTGTACAAGGTAAGTTTTTAGATAGTCTGCATTTCCGGTTGCTGATACATTTACAAGCCTGGTCAACTGACCTCTCGCCACGAACACCGCCTGTCTGCGGTGAAGTTGGTCATTGCCAGCAATGATGAAAGTGACACCAAGGAGATGCCGAAGAAGATTGGTCCCGCGCCCAAGAGTGGGACTGCATATGTTGAGGTACCGGTGAGTTGATCCATTTTGTTTTTTTCAGATCTCTTACATTTTGCAGCCTGCCCCAAAGCCTGCAAAGGCTCCCACAGCGATGGCTGCCAGTGCCATTGTGCTCGCAGAGGATGACCATGCCAACAAGAGGTCCCCGGTTTGGGACCCAGGCTGTGGCACATGCGTCCAGCGAGATTTGATATGCCGCCAAGGCTACGATACTGCAGGTGGAGAGCTGGCTGTGTGTGCACGCTGCCACAGGTCGAAACAGAAATGTGGTGGTGTCATGCATGGTATGGAACTCATACCATGACATTGATAGACAGGAAGTAGCTACAGAGAGTACACTAAGGTGTACCTCATTGTATTATTATGATTGGTTCCATTTTGACAGATTTACTTGTATTTATATTTCCAGTATGATAGTTTTCACCTTTCCCCTTTTCTTTTCTTTTCTTTTATGTGGTTTATTCAGCCACCAGTGAGCCACCAAGATGTGTTAGTAAGCATGTCATGTGATAGGCAATATTCTGCTTTGTAAGGATCCTGCATGATTTGTCATGTGGCTTCCATTTGTTTCCATTTGTTTCTATTTGTTTCAGGCTCATTCAGCCACAGAATCCTTCAGTGAGCCACCAGATATGTTTGTAAGCATGTCATGTGATAGGCAATAATCTGATTTGTAAGGATTTGTCATGATTGGTCATGCTTCATCATGCTTCGTCATGCTTCATCATGATTTATCATGCTTTGTAATATTATGAACTTTATTTGTAAACTACTTTGTAAGCAGCTGATTCAGCACTGCCAAATGGCATGGTTAGTAAGCCAGTGACTTACTAATGCCGTGATGAGTCATGCTTAGTAAAATGGCCTCCCAAAAAGGTATAAAAGGAGCCCATTCTACACTGAGTAATAATAACTTCCCACTTTTCACTCTTCTCTCAAACCGTGAGAGTTCGTAAGACTTAAAGTGCAGGCCAAGAGTGCCTTGAAGTAAGATAAACATCGTATCAGAGATTAGTTGTATACTACCTTACAGGGGTCACTTATATAACAATCTATTTATAAACTACTTGTTGTGTGCTACCTTTCAGGGGCTGAGTGTACAACACCAGAACAGCTTTCGTACTAGGCTTTACGTATTTAAGACAGACTTCATTTACTTGTTGTGTACTACCTTACAGGGGTTGAGTATACAACACCAGAACAGCTTTCTAACTAGGCTTCACGTATTTTAAGACAGACTCTCTCTTTTTCAGGAAGGGAGACACGAGAACACGACAAAGTTGAGACAGACTTTCATAGGTTGAGACACGACCTACGAGATTGAAACAGATCTTACTATCAGAACATTAGGGAATCTATGAGTATTCCACCAGGGAACAACAAGAAGAGGACACATCAGTAAACCCTCCCAAGAACTCACACGTTATCTACCACAAAAACTAGAAAAGTCGTAGACCGTGTACTTAAGGACTGGCAAGAAGTCTTATCCTGTATAGTTGTGTTGTCACTATACACGCGTTGTACATAAGACCCTTAAGTAGCAAGACACCGTGTGCCCTCCGCATGAGTGAAAACGACCACCCGACATTGCTCCTCCTTTTTGAGTACTGAACCATGCTGCAGAGCATTACAATCCGGGTTAGTACATGTCTTGTTTGGTGGATATAGGACCAGGGAAGCTAGGCATCATGTCAGACCAGATGTAGGAGTTAGCCAAATCCTAACCACTTACTGAGACCCCCGTTCTCTACCATGAAGATGAAACATTGTCTCAACTGCTTCCCACTCATCTGCCTCAGTGGGAAGCACCCACACGATGTCCTTGACCACGTCCCATAGCATGTCAACAGCCTCGAGCATGATATCAAACGACTTGCTCAAGAATTCCATGATAATTGGTGGTAGGACATCAGGTGCAGCAGTAACAGAGACTGTGTGAGGCTGAGGTTGGAGTATGTCATCCTTGAGGGCACTTGAGCAGCGTAGGAAGCGTTGAAAAGTGATGTAGGATAGTTCCATTAGTTCTGGAGTGTGTCTGAGGGCCGAAAACACGCTCGCGATGTCCATGATATGGACTTGTGCACCGTTTGCACTAAGCGGAGGCGGGAGGGGCGGCGGGAGGGGCGGCGGGAGGTTGTGTCAGCCACACTTTGTCATCGAGTAATGTTTAAACTCTGCCCGAAGTCAGCCGCCGAAGCCCTAGACTGGCCTCTATGCGCTGCAATGCTACGTGACTGAGAAGTGAAATGTATTGAGACTGAATGATGTGATGGCAATGACGACGATGTTTGACAACGAGACTATGTCGCCAATGTATAAGGAAGACTATACGAGAACGGTGAGATAAGGTTGTTGAGAGTTTGGGCGAAAGCCTGCAGGGCTTTTCCGGCCTGAAACGAAATTCCGAACCTAGGGATTGAAGCTGAGCTGTGTTCCCGATGTATAGGAGTACTGCGATGCGTACGGCGAAGCTTGATACCCTAGTGAAAGGAGTCGTACTCACTTTGAGCAGATGATCAACGCACTGGGGGCATGGTATAACGAGTGAACGGCTCGAGGGCGGGAGAAGATTGTATATACGGTGCGAGGATTTTGGCGTGGTCTCGGAGGTACAAAGTGAATGCTTCGCTCGACCACCTTCCATCGTTTTGACGACGTCGAACGGCACCCCACGCAGGAGGTATTCTAATGTCCCTCCGATTCGAAGGCCGTGGCCTTTGAGGTCTGGTAGTCCTGCTGCTGTTGCGGTTGAAGACAACTTCTTCAAGAATTCTGATTTCGACAGAGGGCGTGGGCCTTTCTCGTGTTTCCACGCGAAAAGGTGATCTTCTGGTTTGGGCGCGTTTATTTGAATATGGTTGATCATGACTGCCTTGGGGTCAGTAGGGCCATCTTGAGCTGCCCAATAGACCCCTTCTCCTCTCTGCGGGGATGACTTCGTGCTAGGAAGAATGAAGTTTGTGACTGGTAAGCCGTTGCGGTCAATAGACTCGGACATTCCTGCTCTCGAGATGTGTTTTTTAGGGTCGAAACTCTTAACCGTTCTGACTGTGAACTCTCCGAGTCTAGCTATGCAGTAGAACAGTCGTGGTTAAGCAGGCAAAAACTGCCGCATCAAGCGGTTTGCTTAAGTCGAGGTGATTGCGGATGGTGGAAATGAATTTGGGGGTGAATGGTTGTCTCTTGGGGCGCTTAGAGGTCGTTGGAGCTAGGATGGCTGCTCCTCCTAGGGTGGCTTTGAGTTCGTCTGGCTGAACTAACCATACTCTGCCGTGGAGAAGATGCCACGCTTTGATGCCGGCCACGAAATTGGCGATCACCGAGCCTGAGTAAGCCCCAGCGCAGCTGGCTAGGAATTCGAGGAGGAGGTTGGAACTGACTGGGCAGCGCTTGTCTTCTTCGATGTGGTTGAGGTCGCAGTATACATGGAACACTAGTAACCCGTTTCTTTCGTTGATTGCACCCATGCTGAGCCCATTACTTCCAGAATGCGATTCAGTTGCTCATCTGATACTTCGTGAGAGTTGGGGGTTACTGTTGTTGCTGCTAATTGTCTCGAGCTTCCTCCTGCGGGGACCCACAGTCTGAGACGTTCGCGGGCGAGGCAGTGGGGGCGGAGGTTGGAGGGGTTTGGGGTTAAGTTTGTTCTGTAGTTCTGAGGGGTGGGTATGAGTGTGGGGGATTGGGATAGAGGTGCGCCAAAACGAGTGCGGTCCATGTAGTCATTCCGCGTCATCGAAGAGCGCGCGGTTGATGAGTTCCTCTTCTTCTGCTCGTGATGCCTTGTCTCGTTCTGCGGCTTGTTGTTTGAGGAGTGTGCGATTGATAAGCTTAGCTGCGGGAACGGTGTATTTCCCGTCCCGCAGTAGCCGAAGCTCGGTGGGGGAGAGAGGGCAGGTAGCGTCGATGATGAAAGGGTCAAGGTCGATGGGAATATCGATGGGAGGGAGAAGAAAGTGGAGGGGGCCGAGTATGCCTCTGGAAGGTTTGTCGGCTGGGTTGAATTCACTAGGGACGTAGGTTGTGATAATGTCAAGACGGTAGGGGTAGATGGTGTAGGAAGTCGTGTATTCTCCGAAAGACCCCGTTGACAGCCTTGTTGCGGTGTCTGTGTTTCCACCACCCTTCGACGACTCCTGTATTATCTCCGTGGACGAGGACATTCTCGTGAACGCCTGGTAGAGAGGCGATGGCATGTATGAGTAACTCGAATCCAACGGCTTCAGCCCACCCGATGTCTCTTTTCCCATTGAGCGTTTGCCAGCCGGGAATTAGTCTCCACACTCTCCAGTAGTCGCCGACGACGATTCCTATGCTTATGCCGGAGCTCGCGTCAGAAAATGCGAGGGGGTTCTGTGGTTGTGTTGCGGGGTAAATGTTGCGCGCTACTCCACCTGATTGAAGTAAGTGAGACCACCAATCCAAGTCTTCGCTTACGGATTTTCCCGCCCTGTGTGGCAGGAAAGGGTTAGCTCCGTTAGTCGACAGCATGTCCTCGAGGCTTGTGAGGTAAGCTCGGCCTCGAGGTGCTGCAGAACATGCGTGGAGAAGTTTGCCGTACAGTTCTCGTACGTCCTGGAGGATGTGGGAGTGTCTTTTCCTCCATTTGTGGATGGCCGCGAGGTATTTGTCAACTTTAGCAGGACTTAGGGCTACTACCATTAGTTTAAGGTTCCATGTAAAACCTATGTAGATGGTGGAAGAGCTGAAAAATTGGTCTTTCAATCGTTCCCATATGATGCCCAGGGTGTCTGATAAGTCGTCAAGGTCTTGGAAGCAGAATGTGAATAGTGCGTCATGTGTTGACCGCGGTGAGCGCTGTGATAAGTCAATTAATGGCTTCGAGCGATCTTCGCTTGATTCTTCGATTCTTCTTTTGATCGGGCAGCGGTCGCCGAACCAAAGTCTACCTCCCGTCTGCCTCAGTCCGTCTTTGGCAAAGGTTTCATGCCATGCTGCTCTGACGTCGTTATATTTTTCAAGAAACTCGCGTCGAATTCTGAAAAATATATGGTCATCGACCCACTTGTCGAGGGGACCGATTCCTCGGTGACGGAATATTTCCACGCCCGCATCTGCTACGTTTCCGTACACTCCCGCTGATGGGGTAGCGCCAAAGGCTGTGCAAGTATCTATGCAGAACTGTGAGTCGGAAACGCGTACTACGCCCGCTGGCCACTGGGACGGGTGCAACGGGACTGTCCGATAGGCTTCTGCTATGTCTCTGGTAGCTGCTTCGGAGCCTGGGGGGAGGGTGGATATTAAATGGTAAATAATCGAAAATTTTCCCCAGGTGGTTGGAAAATCATTTACGTCTATGTACGAATTGATGGAAGGGTTAGGGAAGGGTGTGCTCGGAGAGTGCGGGAAGGAGAAGTTTTGAATGATACGGAATTTCCCCGGTTTACCGGGTTTCGGGATGATGGACAGTGGGGATGATTGAAAAGGTCCAATTAGTTGTTCTAAGGTGTTTGCCTCGAAGGGGCCGATATATCTTCCTTTATCAATCTCTTTCTGAATGATGGTATGAAACTCGGTGTCGCACTCGACAATCGAAGGTTTATTAGGTGGGGTCTGTACATGCGTGATGGGGGGGAAGTCTACTTTGAAACCGGTACGAAGTCCGCTGGATATTTTAGAGAAACGATGAGTAAGACCGAAATGATTAAGTTCATGAGTCCAGGCGTCTACTTTATACGGTGTTAGAGGATTCTGCCTTCTGTGCTCGAGCGCACTTCTGGGCTCCATGAGATGGGTCTCCGCACCCTGAACAAATGTGCCGCGCGTCGTGTCGGGGTACTGTGCAACCTTCTTCACACTGCCAGGCAGTACAGAGTTATTTCCCGTCTTTGGTCCACAGTCCTTTGCGGATTCGTTCTGCGAAGGTCTCATGTTGTTTGTCCCACGTTTGGGGGGCCATGCACTCGATGGTTCTGTGCGGGTTGCGCCCAAGGCACACTGCGCAACAAGGTAGGGGGCCAGTTGCAAGAGGTGCACAAGTGGTGCGTACCTTCTTGTTATTGCCCCCTGATTCCTCATTAAACGGTGCTGCGCGTTTCAGCGCTGCTTGCGGTTGTTGTGTTGACGTTGCGAGCTGGGTGCGCAGGGAGTTAGCGCTGCTGGCCACGAAGGCTGCAGCAGCTTGCTAAAGGGGGGGGGCACACGCAATTTGGGTCACATGATGCGGCGTAGCCGGGGAGAAAACGCGATTGCAAAGGGAATGGGGGGGGGGGGGGGTTTCCAAAGCGTGAGGCAACGGAAATGGGGGGGGGGTGGTTGTCGGCGCGTGATTGGCCGACAGACGAAAAAGTTTCAAGGGAAGAGAAACAAGGGGTTAGGAAGGAAAAGAAGAAGTGGTGCGATGCACGAAGCATGATGAGTACAAGACTTTGTGGAACACGCGACTGGAACTGACCTGGATGGCGAGCGCTGTGTCTTTGTCTCTCTTCTCGTTGAACAGGAGTTCTCTAGCCTCGAACAACAAATCTTGATTGATCTCCTCCAGGCTCCAACCTTGCGCTGTTCCGATGGTGAGATGCCAGCGACGTCGTTGTTGCGATTGATAGAGGAGCAGAGCTCTCTGTTGGAGTGGGTCAGGTGAGTGGCGCCAACGATGGGCTTGAATGGCCGTCCAGAACTGGATGTGCATGTTGACTCTGTCGTCAGGCCAATCATGCATCTTCATGAACACGACGATGCGTGGCGCTGCCTCGTTGAATTCTTCCCAAGTGAGGTGCTCGTCCTTGGTAACGGGTGCGGCTTTTGGGTCTTTGACTGCGGCAGCGGGCACCCATGAGTGGATTCCGTCTGACGCTGGTAGCATGACGAGAGCGTCTGGTTCTGCAACTAGAGTCAACGCCATGGCTTCGTCGAGTCCTTTGTTGGTAAAGTAGTGTAACTCGCAGTAATCACCGGCTTTCAGCCTCCTGATGGCGTATTGTGCCGGGAGGATGGTGGGATCGGTTGGGACTTTAGTACGCTTGAGAGGTGCGTACTTATTCTTGTTCTTTTTCCTGTCTTCGAGACGTGCTGCTTCTTCCTCGTCTCTGAGGTCTTGGCAGTCTTTGGGCGTCGTCTTCCTCAGCCTGTTGGCGCGCCTCTTCAAGGCGCTCTAGTCTGGCTGCCCAGCGGGCTCTTTCGGCGTTGTTATTGACGTTCCACAGCGCTGTCAAGGACCTAATCGCTTGTTCTTCGGTTAAACCTTCACCAATCAGTTGTTGCCTTTCTTCTTGGAATTCTTCCAGTGCGTAGTTGGGTCTAACTGCGTCGTTGGGATCCATGTTGGCTATGTAGTAGGTAGTATGGAAGCAAAATACTTAGGCAATAGCTGTCAGATTGACAATGAAGAATGGCTGCGAGGTGGTCAGAAGCAAAAGGTTTCTGCGCCACCTCGCTTATTTGCGCGTAGACTACATTCTGTGCTAGCCTCGTGCCTCGGCTAGCTCAGAAAACCACTAGATTTTGGCCCCAGAGTCTACATGGAATAGCCCTGGAGTCGGCCATTTCCCGGACGTTCTCACAAAGCCCTAGTTCAACGTTCCGATTGGCTCGCGGGCTCACCTATTCGTGGAGCGTCTAACTTTCTCATCTGTCCACCGGTTCTCTGATGGCCGGCCAGTCTGGCATCCTGACGATGACAAGGGGTGTCTCAATTAACACTCTTCCAGTCGAGGTTCGTAGATATCAGTTTTCACCGAGACTACTCGATACTTAAATGGATTTCGTTCATCAGCTTCTCTACGAGATACAGCTCTTTTCTGCATCTCCCTCTCTCCCTCTGACATCGAAGACGCTCTACAAAATATTCAGCGCATCTCCGCCCTCCTATCGCGCCCAATATCTCATTGCATCTATCGAAACCGCACAAATTAGGGATGACTTGATTCCCTCGAAACTATTGCGGTACCCAATTTGCACAGTGGACATATTAGAAACGTTGTTTCGAATATCAGACGATATTGTACCTTTAACCTGGATACCGGAACTTCCGAGACGCCTCTTTCGTTCGCTCACGGCCAAGTCGCGCGCAAAGACGCCTTTGTGGACAGATCAAGACCATCCGCTTCCCTTCCTGAAATATTTGTTCACTTGTCCGAAAATCCGTCCCCCAGACGTCAACTCGCATGATGGCTACGCCCTGACGAAAGCTGTCCAGGCGGGCTTCGTGCCTCTAGTTCACTTTCTTCTTGATCATGGCGCTTCCCCTCGCTGCAAAAATAACATATCGATCCTTGTCGCTATTTACCGCAAGGATCTCTCGCTCGTACGACTGCTCGTGGAAAGAGTGGATTGCCGGGAGTGTGGTCCAGGGGCATTGAAGCAGAAGGAGAAGAGGCAAAAATTGGAGGATCGAGTGCAAGTAACACCCGAAATGCTCAAGGTTGCGGTGAAACTCGATGCGCGGGATATTGTGGAATATTTTATGGAAGAAAAAGAATGTGTGCCCGATTTGCAGACTCTACAAATAATGCGATGACTTTATAAATCGCAATGTCCGTGATTGATATCCAATCCGCCATGGAGTCTCATCACCTGCGTTCAAGCCACATGTACATCCACACTTCTCTGGGAAGTATATCGTAGTAGGGATACAGCACTGCCTTCAGTCAGGAGAATCAATACAAGTCATGAGATTGAACATTTAAGCGACTACGTCCAAATTGATACACGTTGCCAGTACACTGCTAAAATCTAATCAATTCACCGCCGGTGTCCGCAGGAGTACAATGTACGAGATGCATTGAGATGGCCAATACAGAATATACTGAAGATGCGGCCCAGTCAACACCGGCTATACACAATAGGCGGCCACTTACAAAACAAGGAGGATACATGGTTGATACAGGGACGGGATTAAATGTCGTCGATATCGACCTCCCCTTCGTCGCCAAATTCAAAGGTACACTCTCCATCCTCCTCGGGGAATGTGTCTGTCTCGTTGATTTTTGCATTCTCTGGCAGCTCGCCGTAGGCCTTTACTATGGTTCATTGGATGAATATTCACAAGTATGTGATGAAAGGAATTAGGTTACGTACGATTTCTCGCCTCATCAGCCGTATACTTAACAATGACATCTGCCTTGTCATCCTGGAAGTCCCGCAAAGAAAGGAGCACAATGTCTCCCTGGTTGATCCACACCTGAAACAACGGTCTCGAACGAGCGCTTATAATGTACAGCACGAATACTGACCTTCTTTCGCATCTTACCACGAATGTGGGCTAGCCTCTTCTCGCCATCAAAGCACATTGCCTCGAGACGACCATTACCAAGCATCTTCGTTACTTGAGCGTATTCTTGTCCATCTTCACGGAAGACTAATTCACGCTTGTCGTCATCGTTTTCATTCTTTCCACGTCTGCGGTTCTTTCCACCCTGGAGAAAGATGCGTTCAGCATTGGGCTCGCTCCACAATCACATATGAGAGGGTGTGACCTTTCCTTTATTCTGAGGGAGATAATCAGCTTGAGTGATTGTGATAGAGAATGGCGATTTACACACCTTCGGCATGACTAGTTCCTCTCTGCGTTGATTTTGTCCTTGTCGCTAGATATGGGATAGCGAGGACAAAAAGTGGAAGAGCACGGTATGAGATGGTGCTGAGCTGAGTGCCGTGACTCTGGTGCGGAGGCGAGCAACTTATCGATTATAAATTTTGGATAGAACCTGAAAAGGAAACGTCGGGCCGTACAGTGGCCGGAATTCTCGTTTATGTAAAGCAAGTAACGCGTAGGCTTACAGTGACAATCAGTCGATAGGGCTTTATCATTTTTTTTGTCGCATGGCTGAAACTCTCCTGGCAATTTTGCTTGTAACCTCGTCAGCAAAGGGGCCAAACGTCGTTTATCGATGGCCACCATCCGTGGAGAATACCAGACCCAGACTCTCCCGTCCGCGTCCACCTGTAGACGGCCTCGAGTTAGACAACCCTTGGCGTGCATCACATTACTCAGACAATTCAAATGCCTTAGCCGAAACGCACATTGAGGGTGCCGTAGATGTCAATATAGATGACTACGCGTGGAGGAGATCCACTGAGAGTCGCGACAGGTCTATGTCTTTCTCCCGTTCCGCTATTCCGGCATCAGGTCGTGACTCTCCTTGCAACGATGAGCGAAGGGAAATTGACCCCGTCGCGAATGAGTACCAATGTTTGTTCAACTATACTGCCCAATTCCTGGCTGGAATGCTATGCCCGCAGAGACACCTATGCCACCAGAAATTTGAGCTCGTCATTGATAACCTCGTCTTCGCTGGGCATCCTGTCTGCGCAGAACCTGATGGCATGTGGCGCTTCAAGCCAGAGAGATACAAACCTGGCCCACGAGGTCGCGGGTCTCGACATCGGGAATCCAATCTTCCAGACAAAGATAACTCTGAATTCCCTCTGGGTGGAGATACACACGCTACCGTGACGCCCAAAAGCTCGTGGCTGCACATGTTTCATCTTGTCCTTGTATTCGATTTACCAGACCCGTCATCATCAGCCTCGGGGAATGTTGCAAGATATTTCGACACAATCTACGAGCAAATTGCATTCACTGTCACTGCTGTGCTCTTTCAAGAACAGGTCCTGTCAAACTTTGTAGAATTGGAGTGCGATGCGATTGGTTCGCTTGAAACCGAGTATATGGTAAAAGGTCAGCCGTGCCCGGCACCTGCGGGGTACATATCGCTGACGTGCATGCCTAGGAGAGCGTTTCTCTGACTTTGCATCGCATGCACAACGAGTGTCATCCATTGCTACAGCAATGAAAAATCTCTATGATGCTATAAAGTCATCTAACATGGCCCACATCACTCTCAACGACCTCCCCCTCGAACTGCAGCTTCCCCCTTATCTGGACCACTTATTGCACAGCGAAGAGGAATTTGAACTTGAATTCGTGGGTCGTCTCGAGAATCAACCCGACTCTCAGCTATGGGGCCGCGAGCTCAGTTTTGGGTGGCGCCTGCCAGCCCTTGTGCCTTGGAAGAGTTTGCTTCTTCTTGATACTGACCAGGAACTGGATCCGTATGTGAACTTGAGAGGGTCACACGTGCACGCTGAAGAGAGAAGCCTGGCGGAGGGCCTGATCAAGTTCCTCGAAACCGCTTCTGTCACATTATCGTGGGTCTACTTTCGTATCATGGATATTCAAGATGACAGCGTTTTCAGACTGGCAGACATGGCGAGTTTGCTTGACTGGGACCTGCATTCCCAGGTATATCCAACTGTTCGCTGGTTAGTCCACCACCGGCGGGCCAAGATTGTTGACACAGTCCACAATGGGTTGAAGACCATCTTTTCGATTGCTCCTAAGTTTGATAAACCGTTAGTGTATAAACAGTTCCTCTGTCTTGTAATCAATTAATTTGAATGCAGGCTTGCCACCCTTTCTGCCGAATTCAAACGTGATTTCCCACAGCCGTCTATCTCACCCCTCCCTACACTCATGGCTACGATCTCCAATTCTAATTCCAAGCAGGCCGATAACCACTTTTTCGCAACGGTCGTGCAGTCCAAGGATCTCATATCTCTGTACCACGAAGTTGTGCTTTGGATGCTGAAACACGACCTCCTTATTACAATGCATCTGCACGTGCGCGTAGTCACTACTGCCGAGCTCAAAGTTCACGTCAGACAAGCACATGAACGGAAGCTGGAGCGAAGGGCGAGTCATCATCTTCATGGGCGCCGGAGAAGCAGCCGCAGGGGCGACCATGGTGTGGGTGATGCACACGAGCATCCACGAGTAAACATGCCTTGGTTGTCGCTTTCACCCAATGCTGCTGGGCAGTACCCGAGACGGTCTATTGACTCGGGGCAGAGCAAGCCCAGCGATATATCGGGGTCGATCCTGCTTGAGGATGCTGAAGATGTCTTTGACGAAATATCTGAGGAAGATTCGGGAGAGGAGAATGTTGGTTGGGGATCATCTGAAGATACCCTTGAGCCTTCGATAATTAGCGATCCGGGAACAGCGAGCCCGTTGGAGCGAAAGTGGTTGGCAGCTATGTCGGAGGGGAAGGATGAATATATTGCAAGACGATTTGCACTGTTAGTTTTCGGTCTGCTTGTTTACTAACGTCCCTTTGACGCATTATCAGGATTAATCAGTACTTTGACGGTAAGCGAACGGACGACGAGATCCTCTACACAGCAGAGATATCACGCAAGCAGCTTCGAGAGGTGCTGCATCATTATGAAGAATATGTGCGTTCCGTGTTTTGTCGATTGCCCCATACTGATGCGCTGCATAGCTACAAACTTTCTTGCATCCTGCGTGACTATATTACGCGCACTTACTTCATGACTCTGAGTGTCACTGCTACAGATACACTCTAGATATAGTGACAGCACCGAAGTTCGTGCTCGAGGCGCAGGATGGATTTAGGTGGGCAAGGGGAAGAAGAGAAAGAAGCTTGAATTTCCTAGACTCATAAAACACCGTTTTGAACGCAGTAGATATATTTGCCATCGCAGGTGGGAATCATAGCTACGTTAGTAGCTGGACTAGATCCACCAACATGCGCATCTCTTCTTGGAACAAAGAGAGATGTAAAAAAAATGTTGCTAATGATACATATCCGAGAGTAACAACCTTATGACAAAGTACAAGGCGGTGACCTGTACCCAGTGCATTGCGGCAGCCAAAAAGGAACGAGAGTCGAGCAGGGGGATTGATGGTCCAGGTACTCGTCCTGTGCCGTTCTGCACGCTATCAGTACCCATGGCACAATTCCGCTGTATTCCTACATCAAAGTTCGTGTTTACGCATAGTCTGTGTGGACCCAGCCAAGCAAGCGCTCAGCTTTACTACAGTCGAAGAAACCTTTCGTGCCACTCTCGACCCAGCCAGGTTTTACCGGCACATCTGGGAAGTACTTCTCCTTCAGTTCCAGCCAGTCCTCATCGGCGGCCAGCCGAGGCGCAGCAATAAAAAATGTCTCATGCCCTGTCCACTGGTCCATCTCCACAGTCACTGCACGCAGGAAGGCGTCTGCTGCTGAGTCCATTTGGACGTAGCCCCAGAGGTCACCTCGGACGCGGAAGTGATCCTGTCTGTAGGCACGTGCGCGCGTAGGGCGAACCCAGTGGATGCGAATGCTTGCAACTCGCATGGATGGGTATCTTCGGACGATAGTATTTGCTTGCATCTCAGCAATTCTGGCAGGATTTAGTCAGGCTCTATTATTATTTCTTCGATGGAACAAATATTGAATTAATCACAATTTGGAAAGCCCATAAGGTTCGTCAGGTTCGCATGGGTGATTCTCATCTATCGGAAAGTAGTGAAAGATGGGCTCTGTGCTGTACACCCCACGCAAGACATTGACTGAGGACGCCAGTGCGACACGGTTTATTCCCAACTGAGGATATTTAGTCGACATATTATCTGCAGGATGTTCTCTGAGTCACCTCAGCCGCTGCACGCAGGACATTCCAGGTGATTACGACATTGCTGCACACAGTGGCGGGTATCAACCTTCAAGAAGTACTGTGACAGAAGGGACCTCTTACTCGTTATGCACCTTGGTCTTGTAGTCCATCGGTTGTGCAAAAGCTGCCAACTGGATGATTGCATCACAACCCTCGAAAACCTTCAAAGTCGTATCAAAATCCTTCAGGTCCACTGGATGGAAAGAGAAGGCAGGATTGTCGTAGAAGTCGGTATCTTGTGCAATGACACAGTCTACGCCAACTACAGTGTGACCTTCCTTCAGCACCCAAAGCACAACACGTCTCCCTACGCCCCCGTTGCATCCGGTGATAGCAATCTTCATCGCCAATGCAGTTAGATGGAAAGAGAGGGAAAATTTGGCCCAAAGTGTGCTCACTGTTACTTGATTTATCTAAGATGGCCGCGGCGAGTCTTCGTCCAGGTCAGGAGGACAGGACCCCGATCCCTATATCATAACGACATATGTAAGAAGCCCCCCAATAACCAAACTTGTTGCGCCAAACTTTCGCTATGTGGCTGGATGTGAACGGTATATAGTATTGGCTTCGGAAGCAAAAAAAAAACGAAAACTTTTGCAGAGATGCACAAGTAAATGGAGCAGTCGGAGACCTGGTCATTGTCAACGCGAGTGTGCATGGACAGACATGCAGAGTCAGTGACAGCTTTTATACCTCTTGTTATTCTTAAACTGAACTATAACTATGGGTTGTGTACAAAGACGAGATCAATGCCGCTGGGCTACATTGTAATAATATCTATCTCAGAGAATCCAGTAACAGATTGAGATAATGTTTTAAAAAATGGACAAGCAAGACTGTCGGTCTGTAATTGTCCGGTAAGAACTTGGACCCGATCAAACCAACTCTCGCCCATGCATCAACCATGAAGTTAGCCCATAAGACTACCCAAAGCCAAGTCCACAGCAAGCCCAAAAATCCATCGACACGTAAGCCCGTATAACTCTTCCACATGCCTTCAAGCATTAGACCGATGGCTTGCATAATGAAGAACCCAAACACAACAACAGGGTGACCACCTCGTTCCATTGCCTTCAATCCAAGATAGTGCAGAGCGCCTGAGATGAGGAATGCGCCCATCACCCCTCCAGTGCGACCAAGTAGGTATGACAATGGTCGAGCACCGACTGATATAAAGCACTCCCGGAACAATTGATGCCACCTGTGGCCCCAAAAACTGGTCAACGATCTCGAGAGCCAAGGAGCATCAAACAACGGCGGCCATTGAGACGGTGCTTGTCTGAATAACAAGACGAACTCGATGGTGTGTATCTGATACACCAATTCAATCACAAAATATGCTGTCCAACCAGAGAGGATCGTAATGATGGTAGACCGGGTATAGCGACTGAGGGGCGGTAGTGATGCGTCGAATATTGTGCCCCCTTCAACCGATCCAAATGTTTCCGGAGAAAAATCACGAGCGGCTCCAGAGGTAGCATCAAATGCAAGCGTATAGAACAGTAGCTTCGTGAGAGTGCTGAGCAGGAACTCTGATGTTGATTTTGTTCCACAACTGCTCTTTGGAATGCGTAGGCCTTCCGCCCAATCCCACCCAATCCCGCGAAGGTTAACTGATAGATCCCATGCGTTCCAGATAGCGGTAAATAGTGGGGTATCGTCAACATTGGTCAACTGGTTGCTTGTGCTGCCTGATTGCAAGGTATCACTATGGAATGTTTTGTTCGGTTGCAAAGCGATCCGTTTATATGGTTTTTTTGCGAAAGCCCAAGCGGTCGATCGCATCGAAAGAGTGAATATGGCGAGCTGAGTTATAATAATTGGATGAGACTTGGGCTCCTCATGACGGATAACTTATTCAGTGCACTCACAACTAAGCCATGATTGAGGAAACGGTAGTTAGGGATGCCAAAAGAAAGATCGAGCGATGAGCCAGCTCGATATGCGCACAACAGTGTGACTGGAAGCAACGCAACGCGGATCATTGCAGTGCGTTTTCGTTGAACCAGCACGCCCATTGCAAAGTACGAGACAAAGGCCGGCAAGAAAAACGTCGAAAAAGTCGACGCTGACAATGCAACTCTCTCCTGAGGTGCAAGTAGCCTACCGAAGCTGACCATGCTGAGAACTTTTGTCAATGATGAACTGCTATGAACATGTCGGAAATGCGACGTACTCTGTAATGTATGACCAACAGAGCTCCAAGCTGTCAAGTGAACTGTACGGATGCATCTGGACAGCAAGGCAAACTTCGTTTTTGGTACATACAGTGCTACGGCATAGAGTTTGGAACCATACTAGACAAATGGAGATAAGTAGTCTATAGTCGGCTACTCGGTACCGAGTCAGGCCTCGAGGCCTCAAGGCCTCAAAAAGTTGCTTCAATTGAGGTGAAATTTCGATTCACAAAGTAAACAAATGTCCATATGATGTGATTCGAAGAATTATCACGCTCAACGACAAAATACTACGAGATGAAAGTTGCTTTCCGCATTGTATCTCTCACATACCATCGTTTCCTCGGATCGCCCTCATAACGAACACTCCAGCTTCCTGGATAGCCCAGTCCATAGCCCACGCATTTTCCCCGCTGATTAGAATCTGGCCTCCAATAAGCAGGAGGCGGATGTTCGTAAGGTGGCTTCTTCTTAACTGCTTTGCCGTGTGTCTTGTGTGACTGCAAATCCTCAGGAGAAGCAGTGGGGAAAACGATGCAGGTTGCCCGCAATGAATGTGGGGAATCAATGGCACCAGGTATTGGTGGTCGTAGTGCCTGCCTGCGCACTGTTCCGTGTCGATGACTTTCCGTGACCATCACTGCAGGGTGAGGAACTGGCAAATTGCCTCTCATGCAGATGACTTTGTGGTCGTCTTGTACAAATGGCTGAATGGGAGGATTTTCTACAACGCCGAAATTTATCGATACTACATATTACGCACCTTGAGGCGCTTTTGCGACGGCGCGTCTAGTCGTGCAAAGTCTACGGCTACAGACTGAGCGCGTCTCATCCGTTCATCAGCCTGGATGGGATTGTCTTCGCAATCAGGCGGCCTTGTTCTTCAGATAAGGAATATCATGAGCGGAAGAAAAAAGTTAATATAAAACAAAGTACTTTGGCCTAGGTGGAGGTTTCGGGATAGTCGATATGATCTTTGGAGGTGCTCTACTGGAAAGTAGACGAAATGCTGTATGGATGAGCCGTCATGAAGCGTTTCTTAGAGGCTTGGATACATACATATTAGGCCATCCTGTACATCCGGTGGTGTTGTCTCGTTCCCATTGCATCGCATTTTCTTCCTGGGAGCATGACTAGAAGCTGTTGATAGACACTGCCCAAACTCTGAGAAGAGGAACTCATGCAGCTTGCGCTTCGAGGTCGTGACCTCGACATCAGATGTACCGTCCGCTTCCACGGGGTCCACGTCAGATCTGAGCTGTGCTCGAGACACGAACTCAAAGTCTTGACCTTGGAGGTGTGGATTGGCGAACTTTGGGATCATGATCAGACGTTGTTGTGGTTTGTTGTCCAAAAGCTTCTGAAAGTACTATGTATATCCACTATTAACTAATAGGTCAGGCACTTGACCTACTTGAAAAATCATCGACATGGCTCCAAAATCCTCGCTGAAGTCGGCTTCAAAAACGTCGATTTCAAATCCTGGAAAACGAACATCGTCGTCTGCCGATTCGCCTTCCAAGCCGACGAAGCCGAAGTCGATATTGAAACCTGTGAAGGAGCCTGAAGTTGCTTCAGAAAAAAGTGGAAGCTCGGATGCCGAGGACGATGACCACCTGTATGGTTTTTCAACGGACGAGGATGATTCTTCCGACGAGGATGCAGTTGCTGGCGAAGAGGTTGATATTGGCAGACTACCCACTGTCGCCAAGGATGATGCAACAGTAAAGAGAAAACTTGAGAAAGCGAAACGGCATCCAGTGCGTGCATCGACCAGCTATTGACGTGTTATCTCTTACAGCAGAGTAGACTCAAGACAGAGGTGTGATATACATGGGCTGCCTACCACATGGGTTCTACGAAGATCAGCTGAAGGGATATCTCTCTCAATTCGGGGATGTAACAAGATTGCGCATCTCACGGAACAAAAAGGTACTCAAATTGTCGTGGTGGTAGGCATCATCTGACGGTAAATCAGACTGGTAGATCAAAACACTACGGTTTTATCGAGTTCGACTCAGCGTCCGTCGCGCAAATTGTCGCGGAGACGATGGATAACTACTTGTTGATGGGCCATATACTTAAGTGCAAGATAATACCCAAGGAGAAGGTACACCCCGAGTTGTGGGTAGGTGCAAATAAAAAATGGAAGGCCATCCCAAGAGATCAGATTGTGCGGAAAGAACATAACAAGGTCCGTCGAATGAAGGTTCACTAACGACATGACTCAGTACTATCGTTGGTAGCCGCGAACTCAGGAAAGCATGCGAAAAGCCGAGAAGCGTCTGATTCAAAGGGAGAACGAGAGGAAACGAAAGCTGGCCGAAGTTGGCATCAAATATGATTTCGACGCTGTCAGCTATGTAAGCCGTTTTTTCAACATGCAAATAGCCGTGGCTTACTCCCTGGTGTTGTACAGAAAAAGAAGCTGAAAACAGTAGCGTCATAATCTAAATTGACACATACCTCGGTGTTTCATCTAGCGAGGAAATATCCTGTAGTATTATGTCGTCTTATATCTTCTGTTGTGCTTGGCTACCCTAGAGAGCAAACTTCCTCCTATCAACTTGCAGATGGACCCCTCTCGATTGTCGATTAGTTCCTGGTGCAAGCTCAGACAGTGCGGACAGCTCTGTGAGGGCTGAATGTGGTGTGCGCTCTCCTCCAGCTGGACCGGCAGTTCCCATGCTAGGCCCCTGAGTGCATCGGTATTGAGGCATGAGGGCGCTTCCGGACACTCCGTGATATATTTGCTGGTGAGTACGATCACTTTCCCTGAAAGCTTCGAAGAAACGCTGCCAGTACTTCCCTTGCCGCCATAATTATGTCACACCGACACTGTACTTTACCGTGAAACTTGCAGTCTACCTCATTAATGTGGCTGGGTACCAAGAAGGCGAACTCAGACTAGTATTACACGGCTACTGTTCATAGTCATTACACGCACTGTTTATTAGCTATTGACACGAGCAGCATGTACAGATACAAACTGAGGAGTTCATAAATAGTGAGCGTGGTCCGCGGCCAAGTTCGCAATAAACCGTTTTCACAGTGTCCTGCGCACATTGGTATATGCCTAGGATGCCGCTCCAGGAGCGCCTTGGATGTAGCCTTCCTGCTTCTCATTCGAAATATCTTCAAGCGATCTTTGCTTTGTTTCGGGGATGAGAAGTGTCGAGAAAATACCAGTGAACATAAAGAAAGCGAAAATCTCCATACTAAAACTTAAATTTAGATCCTGTGCATGAATTAAAATTCGCGCTGCTCACATATGACCTATGAATGCGCCCGTGCCACCGATGTTAACTAGCCGAGCAAAGCCAACCTGGGCTACGATAGCCCCGAGCTTGCCAGATGCAGCAGAGATACCATGGCCAGTTGAACGGTAACGAGTGGGGAAAGCCTCTCCCGGAATGACGAAAGTGGTCGTGTTAGGACCGAAGTTTTGGAAGAAGTTGGTGAGGCAGTACAGGAAGACAAAAACTTTCTGGGTCGAGGGGGTGTCCGGGTTGTCCAACTTATTGTAGGCGAAACCTGCCAAGAAATTGTCAGTCCCATGTATCAGGATTCATAGGGGTAGAGTGTACGGACCCATGATGACGAAAAGGATGGTGAGTACGGTGAAGCCCATTAATTGAATAGGCTTGCGGCCCCAGGAGTCGATAAAAAGGAAAGATACCCAATATCCTGGAATCAAGCCCGCGATGGAGAGGATAAGATTGCCAACACAGATATTGTACAAGTTCTCGTAAACATAGAGCGACGTGGATTTTGCGGCAGTGGGGGCCCCAAAGTTGATTGCCGTCAAAATGATTGAGCTGTTGAGACCAAGGCCGTAGAAAGCGATCTGAGCGCACAAAAAAACTCAACTTGGAACCCCAGAGCCAAGTTGGAACTTACATCAAGAGCAAACCAGGAATAGGCAGTGCCGATCAGGACTTTCAAGTTCTTCCACCGGCCGAAGTATGCTCGGAAGTCTGCGCGGGTTGCCTTCGGGGCTTTGACACGCTGGACTGGGGCATCTTCGTCAAAGGCCGACTTGCCGGTTGTCAACACGTTGTCAATATCTGTTGTGGCTTGCGCGATATTGCGCTCGATATCCATGGTGAACCGAGGAGTCTCTGGGATGGTGAGACGGAAATAGAGTGCAATTACGCCAGGGATGCAACCGAAACCAATCAAGAGACGCCAGATATGATCGACAGGGACACGGCAGGGGAAGGGAGCACTGAGGATAGAATTCTTATATGCTTCGACAACGATGACACCGACGAGGGCAGCAGCTACATTTGGGACTAATTAACGACATCATTTCTGGAGATGATATCAACCAACCGAATTGACCCCATCCTTGTGCAGCGAACACAGCAGTCATAAGACGACCACGTGAACGTGTAGCAGCGAATTCTGAGGATATGATGGCACTCAATGGGTAGTCACCACCGATGCCAACCCCCATCTATTGATGGGACGGTGAGGGGTAGACTTTGCAGAATTGGATCGTTGTGCTTACAATGAAACGCCAGACAATGATTACGCCCAGAATGTTTACTGCTGGAGCCTCACCAGCAAGAGCCTGACCGAATGTCGCGATGATCATGATCATTAGCTCAACGCCATCTATTAGAGTGCGGGTTACTGCTGGCGGTTGGCTTGGATATGAAATTGAACTTACACATCCGTTTCCGGCCGAGTTTATCTGCGAGCCACCCAAAAAGTAATTGGCCAACCAAGTTCCCGACGGGAGTAGCTACCTTCACACCCAAACCTTGATTGGAGCTGAGCTGGTTTTCTGGTAGGAATGACATGTGACATTGACCATAGGAGAAGCTTCGGGATGCTCACTTGTGTTACCGTAGACAAAGCCCAACATTACGGAGGCGATGTTGATGGCAAAAATGTCGTAGCTGGCGGTAAATGAGTAGAGGTATTCTGGCACAATAGAAAAACTTACGCATCGGTGAAGAAACCTACACTGGCAACTAGGCAAACCTTGACATGAAACCAACTATAGGGGGTAAGATGGACTTGTAAGAATTGACTTAAAATAAGATAAAAAATTGCGGAAACTTACGAGAAGGGGGCGTTATCGATTTCTGCTAGAGCTGCACGACGACGCTCATCAAGCACGGTGACGGCAGTCTGCTCCTTTTCATGGGATGATCCATGACTGGATTGTTCATGGTTCGAAGCCATCGCGGGTCGCGGGGGATAGGTCCCTATAAAAAATTGACACAATAAGGATTGGGGGGAAAGCGCCTGAAGCCGGTAAGTACGCGCCTGCATAGATTTATAACGTTTGGTTTGCGCATACCGGGTCTGGATCGGCTTCATATGCAGCTCCCTACTGAAATTTGAAGTAAGGTTCCTTACACGTTCAATACCATCCAATCGGAAGTACGGCATTGATGACTTAAGCTTTCCTTTTCTTGCTCTCATCTGCACGTTCAATCTGCGATCATTCGAACGTTTTTTTCTCATGAGGTACGTGCTGGCCAGATTATTCCGAATTCAGAACAACTGGTACATATATGAATCATACAGCTTTGGCACGGACACGCCTTGTTCTTTGTGCTCTTGCAGTGCTGTGCCTCGCAATAATCGCATGCTGTCGTTGTCACGAACAGCATTGAATGTTAAACTTTACGATAGTAACAGAACTTTAAAGATGATCATCCATCCATCTATGCCGAGTCGTCGAACCAGCACCTCCCAGGATTAGTTCCGGTGATCAAGCTTAAGTACAAGCTACATATAAGGTCTTAGATTATATTTTGTTGACCGTACGTATCGTATTTGTGACTTGGACTTATCCGTCAAGCTTTTTGCAAGCTTGGCATTTCTTACCCCTTGGTCACACGATCAACAGGACGTCGCCACAGGGTTGCCAAGTGCCTGTTCAGAATTGTCATTTTGAGGCAACGTCTTGGCTACATATAAGCGGGACGTTTACATATGTAGGTGCCACAAGCATCAATGGCTCACAGCAACAAAGAAATGAGCTTTAAGAGGGGTTTTCAAGCTAAGTCCGGTTCAGAGTTCATCAACGGCTACACAGGGTCAGGTATGTACCCATACTTCCAATACTTGTGATTGTAGAATGTAGACTTGGGATGAATTTTGTCAAGTTAACATGAATAACGGTCGGTGTTTACTTGAATGCATCCTGATGTCGATCCGGATCCGCGCGAGACACGTATGCGATTTCTACACGTGCTTGCAATCAATGATCTTTACCAGTCCCTACCCTTTGGAGACACCAAGGAGAGTTCCGTGCGGATCTATAGTTGTCGCAATCAGAAGGAACCACGCGTTCAGGATTTCGTGATTAATGTAACGTAAAGCTTTTGCTGTGGACACGTCCCTGCAAGTCTAAAGAGGGCTGTCCTTCGGACTCCTTCCACCAACCAGTGCAAGAACCTCAAGTCGGCGTAAAGCTCAAATCTAGACTGGCTGTAGCACGTTCCACGTACGTAATACTTCCGAACACCCTTACTCTAAGCAGTACCGCTGTTCAGGGTCAAAGCACGTTGGAGTCAGTCAATTGGACCACGACACTTCAGCCAGAGATGGCTTCGAAGGTAACTCGACTCAGAGCCCTTGCGCTTTATAAGGAACTTCATCGACTTGGCAGAGATTATGAACCTTCGTATGCCTCAATTTCACATCTACTATAAGTGTCCAACCAAATCCACATTTGCACTTTAGATATGACTTCCATGGGAAGCTTAGACGCTTGTTCGAAAGTTTGCATGATAATCCCGTCGTATGACGTTATCAATGACTTTCATTTCGACAGAGAACCGGAACCTCAATGATGATGAAGAAATAGAGAAGGCGCTTAGGCTTGGAGAATATATCAAGAACGGCGAGTTAAAGGTGGTTTAAAATTCCTTGCTTCGACTCATCAAACGTGCCAGAAACCCTTGCCCTGTACTCGCTTCGCAAATATCGACACCTGAAGCGGATGTATCCTTCAAACACTGCGTCCGATACTTGACAGATCGTTATCACCATTCTTGGCGTCGGCCGAATTCAATCCTCTCTTTTAAAGTTTTATGATATTGGAAGAGGAGTCCGGAAGAATAGTGAGGCGCGTGCGTACGAGAAAGTTCAGAAAGTTCAGAAACTGCCGCGCATTGCTTGCAGGCATTGACGGCTTGATCGTTGTCTGGTATCCTATCGCTGTATGGCTGACTGAACCATGCAATCTTGACTTATCCACTGGACTTGTTGAGGGAAGATTGCAAATACCTTTATGGTGTGCACTGTGAACCCCGGCTTGTAATTGCTCACATATCGCCGAAGAACGTTCATCGAGTTTGTTGAGAAATTGCGAAGAGACCATTTCATTTCCAGGAACAAGAGGAATTCTGTGATCCAATCAAGGTGTGGCCTTATCACCTCTCGGTAAAATTCATCTGAAACCCCAATTTCTTTTCGAAGTGCGGGACACAGCATAAAATTCACTATTGGCCCTGGCTCTTATCGTCAACTTGAAATTGACGATTCTAGAACGTTCGAACTTTGGAAAGCTTGAATTGTACAATGGCGGATTGCTATTGGTTCCAAGGCTAGCGCTGTCAGACTGTACCGTGATGTCTGTTTGCCGAGCCCAACTTGAAGTCGGGACCCTCGGGTGCATGCTATATACTACGGTATGCAACCATCTCGAGCTCTATGTAGTCCAGCATCGTCTCTGCACGGAGACGCCAAAGTTCCCTGTTCGGTTCGAAAACGACCGAAAAAGGATCTCGATGTGCTAAAGGCCGCGAGACTCAGAGTCTGAGCTTCCTACCCCCTCCCCCAACGGTAAACTACCCTGCCGGTGGGTCATGGTTACTGGACGTAGCTGGCCGGTCAATGGTCATCGAACGTGGTTGCAGTGGTGCGACGGAGCCTGTACTCGCACTAGGTATATAGGCTCAGTATTATTACCCTAAACAGAACGAGAAGGTCGGCGCGGTTGGGGGTAGCGGTAGCGGTAGCCCCCTGACAAGAACTTGCGCAGGTTCGAAACCGCTGCTATCCCCGCCATCCTATCGTTCCTCTTGCCCTAGCAGACTCTTATACTAGGAGGCGGGTGACTGCAGCGGGTGCTAAGAACGTCGCGACGCTCTGCTGGACGTGTTTCGCATATCCTCGCGAGTCGCTAAGCCTAGACATGTATTTACGTAACATGGTAGTGATGACAACTAGGCCTAGGCTCCTGAGACACGTAAGTGAAGCAAGCACCTGCACATTATGTGGGACCCCGGACAACCGAGAACTGTTCCAAACTTACATGGTGGTTTCGGACAATGGTCCTCTCAGTGCAGATCTCGGAGGATTCGAGATCAGTGTCCACAGGTGTTACACTCCAAGTTGATATTTGCTATCCGAGACCGGAGCTGAATTCCAAGAAACTGGCGATCCTGTTGCATCCCTGGTCGTGGCTTGGGGGCAACATGCATGAACCGTCAGTGCCATGCCAGTGGACAAGCCCTTGCAGATACTGATGGTGAGTCCAAAGGACTCTGAAGGTGCTCACTAGATTATTGCAAGACAAGAACTACTACGTAATACGGTATAATTCGCGAGGTGTCGGCAAGTCCAGTGGATGGCCTTCCCTCACAGGCAAAGCGGAAGGCGAGGATCTCAAGGCTCTTGTGCAAGATTTCTTGGCAACGAAACCCGAAATTGATTCTTTGACGGTTATTGTGAGCACAACATCCCGCAAAACGTTGATGCACGCCTTGATACAAGCCTGTAGGGATATTCTTATGGCTCTTTGATAGCCTCGCTCCATCCCGTTTTGAACCCCAAAGTGAAAACATCACACATACTGCTATCCTATCCCATCAGCCCAAGAGGATTACTGACCATGTTCCACACCGGCATGTACAGTTTGGCATTACGTGACATCTTATGCAATCCTGACGCCAGACTACTTCTCATATACGGAGACAAGGACGAGTTCACGAGCAAGTCCAAATATAATGAGTGGGTTGATACACTAGGGCAAACAGATGGTTTGAAGGCTAAGTTTGATGTTGTTCCGGTGATGGATGCAAGTCACTTTTGGCAAAGTGACGGCGCTAGAACTGCGTTACAGCAGGCTATTGACAACTGGATATCATCATGATACGCTATTATGTCAATCGCTACCTCCATATATTTTGTCCTGTACCATATTACTGCTTAGCTGTGTCTTGTCGTCCTTGTTTCCGTTGTTTGCCCAGCAACATATTTGGTGCTACCAAAATCGGATTAAGTCACTCATCAAGCTGAAAACAACCATCACCTTAGCTGTGTCCTCTCATCGCTTTTCCTAACTCATCTGCCAGTCAGGTCTTTTGAGGATACCCTCGCCCTGTAAATTTCTTTCTTTTCTTCATTCTATTATTCTAACCTTCATCAGGGCGCGCCATGTAAGTTGTTCGTGTTCTATTATAACCCACGGTTCTCTGACCGATGATGTTGTGCAGGCCTCTGCCAGATGAGAGACCTCGTCAGAGCGTTGCAAATCTCATCGGACGCTTTGAGCAGCAGACCAAACGCCAGTCGTCCTCTGTTGCGTCGGCGATCCCGCGCAGTTCCAGTGTGTCGTCACAAATTGCCGGTGATTCCGCGAAAGAAGATACAAAGGAGAAGAGGGAGTGGCCGCCTAAACATGTGACATCCACGAGTGCAAATACAACCGTGCTCACACCGTCCTGTTCCTCTTCCACCACCCAGAACACGTCGCCACCCACGAGCCCTCAGCCCACGACAGAGAAGCCGGCAGAGACCACCATGGCTGCATCCGCACCCCCAGAACCCGCAAAGCCGCCCACAATGAAGAAACAAGTCTCTGGGAAGGCTACACCCACTTCTGGGTCTCGGACGAACCCAACCTCACCTGCAAAACCACGTCCCTCTACCGCATCAATCAAATCTCCAGTAAAGTCTCCACCTAAATCTTCGCTCTCTTCCTCTATCTCTCAGCCCATCAAACCACAACACACAGGACAATCAGCTGCTTCCAATACTTCCAATGTCCGTAGCACCCCCAAATCGGTTCCCAGATCAACACCCGTCACTCCTTCTCGACCCAAAACGCCCGCTGTGCATACGCCCAATGTATCTCGTCCAAAGACGCCTTCCTCGGGTTTGTTTGCGCCTACAGCAGCATCTCTTGCACGCTCTCGTAATGTCCCTGCACCCGCTCCTCCGCCAGTAAAGAAGGCGACACTCAGCAGCAGCGCGGCTGAACGATTGAGCAAGCCTACTGCTGCATCCATGTCGAAGGCGCGCGCTCCTCCTCATGCGGCTAGCCCTATTCGTACCGTCAAATCGACATCTGCAGGTCTCACTCCTCGCGGTCCGTCCAAACTTAGGGTAGGATTAGCACCTGCGAGGATGAAGGAGGCGAAGGCGCAGGAGGATGCAACCAAAGTTGCTACCAACGATGTTGACCATGAACTCGATCATCTAGAATGCGGATATTCTGAGAATGGGCATGAACCAGAGGAAACTGTGGTTTCAGAAGGAACCAGCGATTTGCATGATGAAGTTCGTGATCACGTCGACGAGATACCAGCCGTAGGGGTCCGAGGGGTTGTAATGGAAGGTGTGGAGAGTATCGTGGAGGACTTGCCAGATCCCGAGGCAACGCATGCTGAGGTTCATGTTGACGCAATGGTGGTGGACAACGTTCCCCAAGTTTCCGAGCCTGAAGTGCACCCCGAAGCTCTGGCCGAAGAGCCGCTGTCTCATGGGGGTGTCAACTCCAATGGTTCAGTTGAGTCCCAAGACCAAGAGCTGGCACCTGCCACAGAAGAAACTGTGCATAGCGCGGTGTCTGAGATTCCTGCAGTTGACGACGACATCGAAGACATGGTGGTCATGCTAGAGACTGTCTCTTTATCGAAGCACCGACCCCGAAGCATCGTCAGCATTCCGGATGAGCACGGAGAAATTCCTGATGAGGATTAGTCCTAATGACCTAGGTCCGCCAGAAGCATTGTAAATGAATCCGTCGTCTATCGTGTGCATATGGTTGGTGGTAAGTGATCACCACTCTTGCATAGACCTTGGCGCTGAAATAACATCACCTCAGAGGTCTTTCCCAATACGTTCATTTAGTGGTTCTGCATTGCCGATTATGACCTTCCTTGTTATTTTGCTCTGACACTTTGCTTTGCTGCATTTTCTCGACCTCTGCCCTGAATTTTCTTACTGCACCGCCGCCGCAGCTGACGCGTGTCATTATGCATCATCACACCCATTTTGTTATTTTCGTTAAGTCCCTCCCGAGCTCATCCATTACATCTGGCTCCGAGATACAGCATACCCTGACTTCCCGCACATACAATGGCACATTTCGTTGAGAGCAAATATAATATATGCATGGTCCACACTTTATGCGCGCACTACTTATCAGGGGATACTTCAGGGTGGACAAATAGGGAGATTGATATTCAGCAGTAGATACAATAAAATGACAAATGCAGGCAGACAATTGTACACGGGTATATGACATGAAAAGCCAAGGTATCAATGGCGAGCAGATTATCCGGTACGAGCTTTCTTCCTCATTTTTGCCAGTTTGCCGGCGGTGAGGGTGCGCCTTATTGGTATCGCCTTCTGGCCATCCTCATCAATTCGCTAAAGAGAAAAATCAGTCACATCCATGGCTTTTGAGGTGTTTCTCACCTTCAGCGTGAAGGTGCACATCTTAAAGCCTTTCTTTCCGTCTACCATCTTGGCCTGGTCTACATCAGTAATGGTTCATGGTATGGCGAAAAGAACCAGCACCTCATCAACGACATACAGCCCGTCGTACCGATAACTAAATGTGGATCAGCAAAGCGGGTAACGAACAAGTGAACTTCCCTCACCCATGGCCTGGAGAATACGTGTTGTCGTCATTCGCTCCGCGCACAACTCGCACTGGACGCCTGGTTATGGAGGAAATCTACTCAAGATATTGATATTACTAGGAAGAACTGCCACAAATGAGATAACTTACGAACAAGGCTTTATTAGCTGGAGTATCGGGGGACTGGTCGCTTATTTGTTTCTACGATGCAATGGTCACAGGTTTATAGGACGAGGAACTTGATATTGCTTACTCCATCATCATCTTGCCCACCTGAATAAGGGTTAACAGTGAAAAGCGAGCATCATAACGCGATGACTAACCCGAGCCAACATATGTACTGAACGAAATTGAAGTCAGCATCAGTATATAGGATAGCCAAGCAGCAAACGGACGTACATAGTATTTCCCCTGTCGACATTATCCTCGTACCCTTTAGACAAACAAATGGAAAAGGCACCGAGCTCATGATCCCCATGTATGCCAGCTTGGCGCAGGACATGTACGCCTGCATCGGCTAGCGCAGCTCTACGAGTATTGACATGGCAGGGTGTGAATTCGTTGCGGCATGACAATCATGCTCTGTGCACTCACTTTGAGGTGAAAGTCGCGCCAACCTCCACGCCGCTGATATGTCCAAACGTTCGCCCATCGCTGTATCAAATACATTAATATTATCTTTCACAAACAAGCTGATTCAATTCGTGCTTACCGCGATGTCATCTGGTAGTTAACGTTTGACGTTCAAGGTGGTTGATTTAGTGAGTTGTTGATGACTCATCAATATTTAAGTCTTACCGTGAGAAAAAGTGATGTCAACTTGGTGCGACGGCTGAGCGAAAAACTAAAGTTATAAAGTACAGGCCTCAAAACTGGGTGAATTCTGATACTGCTCCAGATGACACACGCCATATTAAATACTGAACGAGACTCAAAGGGGAATATCCAAGAAACGAGTTCATTGGAGAAATAAGACAAAGGCTGAAGCAAGGGACAATGGACATGGCAAAAGGTCAAGGCAGATTATACAAAGACTACATAAGGTGGTCATTCCTTTGTACAGCTGTGATCTCGGAACCATCACGAACGTCGCGTTTGATCAACATCTGTTGCCATCAGAGAACCCGCCTGTCTTCCCAGGATACTTGACGTTTACAATATCTGTGGCTAGCGCTCACCGCCAGTGAGTCACCGATCCTACTATTCATGATGGCGATGCGGCTGCTTGAACGCTCTGAATGGTATCCAAAGTCTCCAGAGAAGGAAGGGGAATAAAAAGCAAACGAAATATCATCGTCTTGCAGCTGGTAAACAGGTCAAGTTGCAAGGGGGAGTCATGAATCGAGTTTGCGTCAGCATTCCATCTTCCCATCATCTGCTAGACTGTCTCAAACAGCCTATCAGCCCTCTGTGTTAGAATGGATGTAATCACTTGCAAACCGTTTTTATTGGGTTCTGGAAGTAAAATGTCGTGAAGTAAAACAATACAGCGCAGAAAATTATTCATCTACAGCAACCTTCGCGCTCGACAGAGGTTCAACGCTTTCCGTAACATCTTCTGGTCCAAGGGGGAAATAATATGGAATGAATTTCCTGATTGCAGCCTCATGAATGAAGACCCGTGCAAGAGCATTATTGCCACGTACTCGTATACCTTCTGATCGCCATCTCTTCCAGTAAAAATGACAAATACTACGTGGTCCAACTGAAATTACAGTTATGGTTATCCAAAAGTCACGAAGGAGCTCCCGCTCACCTGATTATTTTCTTCCAAGAAAATACGTGTCTCCTTGAGCGCGACGTGAGTTGCCTCGTCGATGGGGTATCCATAGATGCCAGTTGAAATCAGGGGAAAGGCCTGCGCGTCAATTCAAGTGGCATGATGACATTGCTCGCCAGAATAGAGAATTGTTAATGGCTCACGATGCTCTTGCAGTTGTTGTCTACCGCTAACTGAAGACTTATTCTATAGCAGGACGCAAGCTGACTGGCCATTGTCTGCGTGTCTGAAGAAACACTCCATCTTGGTCCTACAGCATGGATAACGTGTTTCCTGACGCGTAGAATATTGGAATGAGGACAGCAGAACGAGCGTCAAAAACGGTGCACTTACGAAGGGAGCTGAAAGCCTGGAGTAATTTTTGCGTCTCCAGTTGGACAAGGGCGCCGCCCGGGATATAATTCTCTGCCTATATCAAGTGAATGGGATAAGGTGAGGTTGTGACTAACGCTGTGAAGGGAAGCAAATCGCACATGCTTCGGCGAGTGCTGGGCCAGCAGCCATATGGATTGCCCCGTCCACTAAACCTTGTGAGTTTCATATGACGGACGCACTTAAGAGCTCGACAGACCTCCACCGCCGCCTATGGTTGCAGCTGAGCGCTAACTCATTATATACTATGGGCCACGACGTGACTCACCCTGCAATGTCGAATTGGCAGCGTTGACGATTGCATCCACCTCGATTTCAGTAATGTCACCTTGACTTACACGAGAGTTAGAAGAGAGGAATTCAGGAGTGCGCAGTGATCACTGGCTAACTATAGATGTACACGACTCAGAAGCGATCGCTTGGGTGGATAGATGGGCGTTTCGACGTCCTGGATAGCAGCATTCGCGAATAGTTCGCCCACAGTACGAATACTTTGCGGCTGAATTCGATTGGGCATTTGGTTCAGAGTAGAGGTTCAGAGTAGAAGTTTGAATGGTCGTGAGATGATTATCCGAAGTCAGGCTATAGTACTTAGGGGAGACTACCATCCCACTGAGTATGTAATGCACGTGCATGCCACAATATTTTCGATAATACCCTCGATCGACCACGGCACAAGGCAAGGCTGGCGGCCAGGAGTCCAAGTATTGCAAGATTGACGGAAAAGTATTTTCCTCATAGTTTCTTGTTCGAGTCGAGTACAAAAAGAATGAAGTTAGCACCTACTAGGACTCGGATAATGGATATTGAACGGATGCAAGCTTATTGTTTACAAAGGTAGATACACCAGCTAGAATGCTGCTAGCAATGATACTGCATACATGCCGCGATGCGAGCAAGGAAGTGCGAATGTGTGCATAAATTGGCTAATGCGAAAGACTCCAGGAAATATGAATAATATGAATGCTTCAGTTAGAAAATACAACATTAAGTGCACATTGGGCATCTAAAAAGCCGAATACAAATGAGATGTAACCAAAGTAGTGGGAACTAAGGACGGACCGTTAATATTAAGGCAATACAAACAGTCATATGCTAAAGAGGTATTGTCATATGCTGATGCAAAGTGGTATCCAAAGCTGGAGAACCAGCTCGAGATCTATCTCCCATCGTCGTAGTTGGATTAAGGGTGTTTGACATTGACTGAACAACCGGAATTTGGTCAGAATCTAGACTCCGTACGACAGTGGTGATGGGTTCGTTATGAGGATAGTACGACCTGCGCTTGGTGGACATAAAGTCATAAATGGTGAATCTAGTGACGAAAACGAATCAGAACTATCATGGTAACCGGTATGGCGAACTTACTGCTCTTCTAACTGCCTCACTTCCGGCTTCATTTTGGCCAAGTCCGGATTTGCCTTGCGTTTTGTGTGGGTCAGTGGTTTTTCAACCATTAGGAACTCATCGAGTTCGTGAGTTACGTCAAAATTAGCTTTCTTCATCTGCAGGGGCGTAAATATGAGATCGATTAACAATTCACAATACTCACGTCTGGAACGAAAGGAGGCTGAACTTCTTTCATGTCTAATACTTCCCAATCTACGCCCTGCAGCCATGCATGGTTTTGAATGTCTTGGAAGCCTTGACCGTGTGGTCGGCAACCTAGACGTTGGCTAACATTACGTTCGAGTAACTGCAACCAGATTAAGAAAAGGATAAATGCTAATGAGTGTCAGCACCCACCGCTTGCACAAACTTCACGCAGTTTGAGCTGCATTTCTTATGGGCATCATCGGGGAACCTCAGAGGATCCTTGAGGATAGAGTTGGTCATCTTCTCAGATGTGCGTCCATCAAATGGACGTCGTCGGAACAATAACTCGTAGATTGTAATACCCAAACTCCACCAGTCGACACACCATGTGTATCCTTTCCTTCCAACGACTTCGGGAGCCATATATGCCATACTCCCAGCGACACTAGTGTGTAACCGACGCTCCGAATAATGAATGGCAACATTGAAGTCAGTGATATGTGCATGGCCCTTTGCATCAAGCACAATATTATCTGGTTTGAGATCACTGCGAATCCAATTAATGACCAAGGTATTCCGTTGCAGAAAAATCTCACCGATGAATAATGCGCTGCTTGTGCAAATAAACGAGAGCCGAGGCCAGCTCTGCAGTCCAAAATTGGACTACGTTCTCGCTGAGGTATCCTCTACTTTCCAGATGGACTAATCGTGGCGCACGATTTAAAAATACAACAATACAACAAGGCCGCGATTGACTCACATCGGAGGTCTCCACCCAGCATGAGGTCGAGCACAAAGAAACAGTTTTCATCATCTTGGAATGCATATCGCAAGTTGACAATGAAAGCGTGGTCGATCTATAAAGGTGGTTTGAGAATTGAACATGCAAGCAATAAGGCTACGACGTACCTCCTCAAGAAGTCTCCGTTCTTGTATGATATTCGCCACAGCCTTTTGTTTGATACATCGCGCTTTATCAATGTATTTGAGGGCATAAAGCTTCTTAGAACGCTTGTGTTCAACTACCCTGACCTAAGCAGTCACTGGTTTATGAGTGGCCACACAAATAATCAAAGATGGCCGACCTTGCCGAAAGCGCCTTTGCCCACTGCTCTATGGAGGTCGAAATGAAAGAGATTGACTTCAGAATCAAAATCCACAGGTTCAGAAAAACAGCATCCCATGGCTCATCACAGAATAGCGTTGAAGGTTAACGAGCGAGAGAGGAATTTAGGGGACTTTATTGAAAGAAAGAAAACAAAAGAATATTGCTCGCTTGGAGACTTTGTATCTCGATAAGGAACCGCTGGACTCGGATAAAGTATATTATCATGTTTTTACGGCATAAAAATTACAACACAAACTTAATCGCTTCGGCAGTACTCACAGTGACTCACCTCTGGGACCCGACAACTTGCTTGCCGTTCGACCTTTTGAGTTGACAACCTGCACGAGTGATCTAGGACTCTCAGGAGAAATACGCTGCTCCATAACCAAGCCACCTGCGAGTTGATTTGGCTGACATGGATGCGGAGGAGCAAATAAGTCAAGGGTTGCTCGCTCCTTCACAGGAGTTTTTGGCGTCTGTGAAAGTGTTCCCGCTTATTCCTTACTTGAAGAAAGATGTAATCGTGAGTTACATCTTCGAACTCAAGCACGTGTTACGATTGACGATTTGGTCGGCCATCAATGCAGAACACTATCGGTGAGACTATTGTAATACCTGTATTATTGATACACGTGGTTGACGAACGTCTCAGATAGTCCGCTTAGTTGGGAGTACGTTGGTGTTGCTATGTTTTATGGTAGTTCGGGCTGGGTTATTCACGACATCCTCACAGGCAACTCGTGGCCTCGGACATCAATTTCGCCATAGTGCGCCCCTTGGTTACGAAGTACGCGAAGCTCAGGAACATGGCTATAGTTTACGCGTGCATGGTTGTTCGTTCATACTTCTTAGCACAGTCAGGCTCGGACTTGGTTCACGCCGGGGTGATGTATTCGCGCGCCACCCTATGTGAGATCATGGCATTGAAGCTTTTGAGTCACTTCGCATCAAGCAAGATCCAGTTGGTAGCTGTTTTGACTACCCTCTGGTGTCCGTTGGCAGGAGCTCCGGACGATGTGATCGAGGAGGTGAAATACGCTATTGGAGGGGAAGATGAGTATGTTGACGACCCTCAGTGTGCCATTGAGGTCAGTTCAGGCCATATCTGTTTTTTTTTTTCAGTTAACATTGGTGATCCTCGACAAGATGGCAATCGCCACGAAGGCAAAGACCTTCCTGGCTTCCGCGATTGTTCAGAGCGTTGTGACCGACATATACAATGGGCGTATCATAGTTTCCATCGCCGGCAACAGATCGATGGTGCCAGACAATTACAAGCAGAGGGCGATCATGTTGTATGACCCGCGTACGGTACCGATGCTTGATCATTACAGGTTCATCAGACATTCGTGCTTTTCACGTCGAGCTCACACTCTATCAGATTAAGAGTTCCACGATATTCTGCGATCTTGCACTTCGTCAACATAGCCGTACTTCTGGTGGTTTTTCTTGCATGCATATGGAGTAGGTTTTCAGTTTGGCTGTGAGTCAGAGTAGCCAATCATTTTTAGCGCAGGACGTCTCTCACGTGACTCTGTGGGAGTCTGTGTTCTTGGTTTTTGCGATTGCCTTTACACTGCAAGAGTACACGGCTTCTAAGGAGTACGGGTGGGCTAGTCAGTACACGTTCAGCTGCCACGTTCCGATTTCTGATGTACTTGTGCAGTTTACATTGCCAACGTAATTCATCTTTGGGTTCAAACTCCCTGGCTGAAGTCCGCTTCTCCAGGTATGGAACGTTTTTGACACATCGTTTGTCATAATATTTCTCGGCTATCTGGTTTTGCGAGTAAAGGGGCTGTTGGACGATGACGGTCAGTTGTGCCGCTCGTGTAGGTGCTTGGGACTCAATTAAAAGTTGCCATTAGCAAAGATGTCTCAGCTTGCTTTTGACCTACTGGCTTGCGGCTGTTGTGTTCTTGCTCCTCGGTATAACTGGACTACTTGTACATTGCACCTTATTGATTTTCTTTTACAGGCTAGCATTTTATGCAATATCCAACAATGTCGTCGTTTTGTAAATGGTTTATTATTCTCTCGTACGTTCCTGCTAATTTCTCTACTGAAAGGGCGTTGCGCGCAATGACAGCTGAATTTATTTTTTTCATCGGCATAGCGGTGGTATGTTTCTCTGGTATTTTGCTGACCTTGTACACCTTGGGTAAATTGTAGATTACTTGCACCGCTAAATTGAGACTACTGACTGTTATATCCAAGCTTCAGGTACATGGACAATACGCAATATCGCTTGGTTGATGGTTCAGATCTGGTTCGGCAGCACGTCCCTCAGTTTCGGCCAAGCAAAAAGCTTCCATCCGGTGTTCGGTCCTATTTTAATGACATGCTTCGCGGTGTTGTCGGGCACCCTTCTCTTGACTAGTGCGTATTTGCTGCTAATTATGACGGGATCGTTGTTGAGTTGGCATGTCAGTTCTTATTTCCGTTTTGTCAAATACCGCTGCCCGAATCGATGCAGTAAGTGACAATTGGTGAGTTACTGGTCCTGTGCTCAAATGTCATTGCATTTTCAGAACGCCACCCAAGAGGTAAGGAAATCACAGATCGGCGGATCACTTGTCTGACTCGGTGACAAGTTTCTGTTTCAAGGCACTATATCGACCATCCAGGGGTAAGGCGCCTCCAACGATGCTTCAAATCGTGATACACTATGACTAAACTTTTTCACCAGCGTAAAATCGGATGCTTTATTCAGCTACCAGCCTCCTTTCAACATTCTCGCCTTCGTCATCCTCAAACCTGCAAGTTACATCCTTTCGCCCCGCTCTTTGCACTCTGCGAATGTGTTCCTGATCAGGCTTACAGTAAGCATCCTTGTATCATCTTAAGCCAACACCTACAGATCGTTCTCTGCACTTACTACAGTCATTCCCTATTTTGATCGCTATCGCAATGTACGAACGTCTCCTGGCTTCTGAACAGCAGCTGCGTGAGTCCGGCCAGGGTGCTGCCCGCAGTCTGTATCACAGCATCCCAAGGCACATCAAGAATATGCCATTTGTCGACTATTTTGTCGGTTCAAAGTCGGCGGATTTGTACGAGGCGATTTTCGAGGTTGAGGATTCCAGGGAATTTGATCTTTTTGATGACTCGCAGGACGAGTGCAGTCTGCGGTCGTCACTTACATCTCCTACTAGACGTGAAGACTCTGGGTCACCATCAATTTTGAAACCGCGGCGTCACGAGAGATCCGCCTCACTTTCAAAGAAGTCGCAATCACAACCCCCGAGGGCTCGAAAGGTCAGCGCATTGCCTTCGTTATCAGAACCATCAGGCACAGGAAAGATCCTACACCTGAATACGTCCACTCCAGTCACAAGGTTGTTCTCACAACGTTTCAACCAACCGTCATCTGCTCCACCAGTAGAAATCCTACCTGATGTCACGAACATGGAGAGGTTGGACTCCTCCGTCAAGCGGGTTGAAGCATTGTTGGAGGATTGTCGTGAATTACCAGTCTGCAAACTAAAGGACGAGATGAAAGAGTTACAAGTGAGTGAACATAGCATCATCGTGGTATGAGGTGATGAACCGTTTTGCAGGACCGTCAGGCTCGCATCGAGAACATTTTGCTAGCCTTGACCCGCGAAATGCGACATGACTCGGAGGCGGAAATTTTACGGGGCAATACTGCATAATTAATCTGAGCACTATGCTTCGATTTAGAGCGCTGCGCCAGCAACACCTATTGCAACCACATTTCTATAGTGATTTCAAGGACAATCCTATTATTTAAACCCATTTCAATCATTTTGCCTTTGAACCTTACAAGGCATTGAAATTAAGAATTTCTGACTCGGACTCGTTTACGTAATCCCACTTTGCTGTTGGTTGCCGGAGCCCTTGGAGGTGATATTGACTTGTAACATGACCTCAACGCCCCCGCCAGCTGGTGCTTTTGTTGTCCCGCAAATACCTCGTCTGCCATCGACAGCAAGTTCGCGTAATCGAGTTTCAATAGGATCATCCTTCTCGTTTAGCCCACAACCGATCATTTCCTCATTCTCTGCGGCGGATATGAGTAGCTCAACGCATAGTCGACCCCTTGCGCTTGATCCAAATCGTTCCATGCTTCCAAGCTCGCCAAGATCCTCGCTTCGGCGATACCGGCGAGCGAAAGAGAGTACAGGCCGTCATCCCCTTGCAAATGATTCCATGGATGTTTTTCAGGACACTGAGATGGAATCTGACAATGACGACGGCGAGTGGGGGATGATTGACCGTATGAGGCTATGGCGGCACGATTCTTTGATGCAGCATTTGTACGAAACTGCCGCCTTCTGGGGAGACAAGATACTGTCATGGACCAGTAAGTCGCGCCGCTTCGACGATTGCCATCGCTCTGACTGTTCCTTGTTATTGGTGTATCTTCCATGACGCGCAGATGACCCAAATGACGCATTTTGGCTAGCGCAGACTTACTTTATGACTCATCAGTACGCGCGTGCTGAGAGACTCTTAACTAGGCCCTTCCCTGCAATGACACCAGAACTGCAGAACGCGCCCTTGAATGGTCTGGAACACGGGGTAGTAGATGATACTACAATGGGTAGTTTGACCGCAGACACGAAAGGCAAAGGGAAGGAGGGGTACCCTGATACAAGTATAATGCCTCAAATACCAATGGGTGACGCTGGGATGGTGCAAATTCCTGAAGAGTTACAGGATTCCGTATCAAGACTTGTGGACATGAGTGTAGCATGCAGATATCTTGCTGCGCAGTGTCAAGTGCGGCAAGGGAATTGGACAGACGCGACGGAGATGCTCGGCGAAGCGAATCCCTTCCGGCATTCAGGTTGACATCAATCATGTACAGCTGCTACCATCTACTAATAGATCATTTAGCAAGGAGTGGGCGTGCCGTGCCGAATGTTGACGGTGGTATCAAGGTAAGCGGACGTATATTCCTGACCACAACGTTTTGACCCTTGCTTGCTTGTGTAGGTCGAGGCTTCCATGTGCCATTTGCGTGGCATACTTATGCTTAAGCTGAACCGTGGAGACCAAGCAAAACTTTGCTTTATGAAGGCATTAACTTTGGACGTCAAATGTTACGATGCATTCGACCAGCTAGTCAGTGGTGAAATGATGACTCCGGACGAAGGTTAGGCCACAAGTATCGTTACTCATTTCCTGGTATTTGACTATCATAGAATGGGAGTTTGTTCAGGGTCTC